TATAGAACTTTGTATCTGGTCGCACGAAATTTGAACTTTCGACTTACAATATTTTAACATATCCGAGACATATCCAAATTTTGGGGCGGTAAATCAATATTTATTGATTTTATGAAAGACCTTACATATTTGCAATGTTTCACCCTCATCTTTTATTTTCATAGAGATCGGATTTGAGTATATATTTTATGTGGCCCAATATTGCCGACTTCATTCTATGTGTTTTTCGTTAAACTCATAATACCCTGAACCCATTGAAAATGGGTAAAAAGGGTATTATGTATTTGTGCAAATGTATGTAACAGGCAGAAGGAAGCATCTCCGACCCCATAAAGTATATATATTCTTGATCAGCATCAACAGCCGAGTCGATCTAGCCATGTCCGTCTGTCGGTCCGTCTGTCCGTATGTGTGAACGCAAGGATCTCGGAACCTATAAGAGCTAGAGAAATTTTGAAATTTTAGCTGTAGGATCGAGTTTGTTTCCGATACTGGATAACTTGCCCCGTTTCCAAATAATCGATAAAAATCGATATCGGCAATTTCGGCAAATAATATGAGCTAGAGTCACCAAACTTGACATGTAACTTCTAGGATAGTATATATATATATAAAGTATCTTTCATTTTATACCTATCGCCTGTTAGAAGAAGAGGGTTCAGGGTATCCCCTAGTCGGGAGCTCCCGACTAGAACCTATTACTTGTTTTGAACTCGTATAGGGACTAATAAGCCAGCAGGGCCATATACTAAATGTAAATGGCAATGACAATGTTGACTGAGAACGTATTTTCATTAAATATTATCTGACCATGATCCTATGTTTTGATTTGAAAATGGGTTTGAAGTAGATCAGACGAAAATATTTGATCCGCAATCGCTTCCCAGGAGCCGATCGGATGGTAAGCTAAGTAGATTCGCATTCGCATAAACGTTTTCCACGAATTTTCCGCGATTTTCCCTGTCTGCACGGCTTGGACTGTGCCGTCGATCAGCAATTGGTCAGATATAGCTTAGATCTGTTCAGGTCGTTAATCCAATCCAATTGAAAAATCGTTTAACGATATAGTTTCAAATTAAAACAATGAAAAGGTGTGGCACAATACTCGTTCTTGGTCGCAAGCTGGCGTTAAATATAATAATGGAAGTTGACAGAAAGCAAAAATAATAGACAAAAAGAATACAAACACAAACACATTGTTGAGACGAGGGTCGAGCTAGCTGCCAGGCTGTATGTTATGTATGTTATGCATGTATGTGTGCTTTGTATGAAAACAATATCTATTAGTTATGAGCACATCCATTGAAAATCAATAGTTCATTAAATGACAATCGCATTCGCCGTTTGGCACTCTGTCAGCCACTCAAAGGACCTTTGTCCCATGCAGGACTCGAGCTCGTATCCCGCTGCGCCCCTAAAACAGCATCAAATTCTTGTCGTCCGCTTATGTTCTTCGTAATATTGTAGATAGATATTGTGATCATGATCATGATCACGCGCCAAATGAATTAACGGATATCAGGAGCCCATATTCAAATTGAGTTCTAGTTTAAAAGCCAGATAAGTAGACAGTTGAGCTGATTGATATTTGTCAAGCATTCATTTTCAAGCTAAGTCGATCGTTTCTACGGCAGCTATAAGATATGGGATATATATATAGAATATATAACAGGGTTAAAGCCATCTCACAGAAAATAAGGCTAAATAAGGTCCTTTATATTAAAAACGAATTGTTACGGCGCTGTTGAAGTTAGAGTTGTCAGTTGTTGGATATATACTTGGATTATATATTCTCAACCGAGATTATCAGGCTATAGATCTATATCATCTTCTGTTTTAGAGCTAGGAGTGATCAAATATATAATAAAGACTCCTCTAACAAGTCTTAATCTGTTATCGAAGTGTGATCTAATTTTACACAGTCGCAACATTTCTTGCTTGTTATTTCCTAAACCCATTAAAATGGGTTAAAGGTTAAAGGAGTTAATTCGACATACAAAATCGGGTATTCACGGCCTAAAAGTTGAAGCTTTTACTTTTTCAATCAGTTTCTGCCCGTGTAAAATGTAAATCAATTATCCTGTTAACTCAACGTCTATTCAAAAACAGTCTTAAAGTCCATTAAATATAGAACCTAAAGTTTGATTCAACGGGTTCCGTCCGATATGGTAAGAATCTTGAAGACGAAAAAAACACCGCATTTTCGATTCAAGAGCGGGGAATTCAGCGAAAAACATATCATATACATCACAAAGATCTTTCGAAATGATATTGACGCCGGGCCGATGGTAAACAAAAAAAAATGGCAAATTCCGCCAAATTTCCACAGTTACGGGTGGATTTCGCTTTGAATATAAATTTGAGGCCAATCGAAGGAATCGAAAAATTATGCTTTGGCATCCTTTAACCTGCAAAAACGTAAAACACTTCGGAAATGTTTTTATTCAAAGATCTCGGAAAATGATTTTGACGCCAAAATGATTTCCACCAATTTACAACAATTGCGGGTGGAATTGGCAAAGTCCCTGAAACACGTGTTTATTATGTTTTTTTTTATGGCATTTTGACCATAAATTTGAAGCAAATCGGACGAAACTAAAGACTTCGCCTGAAAAATCTTCGAACCGCATTTTTCACCGAGGAGCCGTGGATTTTTCAAAAAGTGGAATTGAATTCGCACCCGAAACTTCACCCACCAAATCTTGCGACACACCCTCAAAGGAATTTGAGCAGAGATCTTGCAAATAAGCTTAAAGCAAATCGGAAAAAACTTAAAGGGAAAATCTTTGACTCTGCGTTTTGGGAAAAGTGTTAAATCCGATTCAAATAAATGTTCCAAAAGATCTTTAGGAATAAGCTTACACAGGAAACTTCGACCATTTAAATTCAAAAGCCGATCGGATATACAAACTGTTTTTTTTTTCAATAGTACCTACAGTAAAAATTTTAAAAAGTTTTATACATCGAGATAAATAAAACCAAGCTTGGTTAGGTAGTCATTTTTTTGATACCTCTCCTCATTCCCGCAACTTGGAAAATAACTCGCTTTGGCCCGTAAATTTGAGAAAGATCGGACTATGAACACCGATGCTATTCAATAGTTCATTTCCCCAAAGAAGAAGCACGGCCAGAGTCCGTGTGTTTTTTGATGAATGTATTATATGTTTAGAAGGAAGCTGGAATATTTAGGAAGGTTTAGGTTTAGTTAAACATCCCCTGGCACAAAGTTGATCTGATTTGTTGGCTACTTCGAAAAACACGCCTCCCAAATGGTGAACAAATTTCAGAACATATTTTAAATGTTTTGAGACTGTTTGCAGGCAGTTCGTACTTAATTAGCAATTGCATATCAAGTGCGAAATTTAAGTGCAGAAAGTAAATGATGTGTAAACGACTCCCGCCTTGGCTCTGTTTGTCATTAGGACAGATCTCTTCTGACCAATTAAGGGCGGCCTCTTTCTTGTTCTCCTCGCATGGCTGTCGATGCTTCGTCTGTCTGCTTCGGCTTATAATTAGCAGTTGTGTAAAACATAAATAAATTACCACAAGGAGCAACTGAATTGCATAGCTGCAATCTTTTCTATCAAACATTAATTGCCCGTAGTGTTCATTAAATGCTTTTATAGAGATTACACATTAAATAAGGCCGATCGGAGAATAATGTAACCCTTATCTGTACAACCTTGAATTTTTTTTTTATTCAGGGAACGGTGGGTTTTCTTCAATATGTTGAACATGTTCTCAATGAATTTTCACAGAGAGAGAAATTTAAAATTCATCGAATCGATCGACTATATCAATTTAGATATTCCGCCCGTTGCGGCGGATTCCGTTGTGGAATATTTATGTGAAAGCATTATAAAATCCACTTCAAGATATCTTTAACCCGCCGGCGGGCGGAAAATGGGCAAAAAGTTAGCTTTGCAAATGGGAAATTTGAAATTCATCGGATCGATCGACTATATCAATTTAAATTTGAAAAATTCGACACATATTCCGCCCGTTGCGGCGGATTCCTGTTGTGAAATATTTATGGGAAAGCATTATAAAATCCACTTCAAGATATCTTTAACCCGCCGACGGGCGGAAAATGGGCAAAAAGTTAGCTTTGCAAATGGGAAATTTGAAATTCATCGGATCGATCGACTATATCAATTTAAATTTGAAAAATTCGACACATATTCCGCCCGTTGCGGCGGATTCCTGTTGTGGAATATTTATGTGAAAGCATTATAAAATCCACTTCAAGATATCTTTAACCCGCCGACGGGCGGAAAATGGGCAAAAAGTTAGCTTTGCAAATGGGAAATTTAAAATTCATCGGATCGATCGACTATATCAATTTAGATTTGAAAAATTCGACACATATTCCGCCCGTTGCGGCGGATTCCTGTTGTGGAATATTTATGTGAAAGCATTTTAAAATCCACTTCAAGATATCTTTAACTCCCGACGGGCAATAAGTTAGCTTTGCAAATGGGAAATTTAAAGTTCATCGGATCGATCGACTATATCAATTTAGAGTTGAAAAATTCGACACATATTCCGCCCGTTGCGGCGGATTATAAAGATTTTAAACCTGATGTGGAATATTTATTATTAAATCCACTTCGCTTCGGCTTCAAGATAATTTCAACTCCCGACGGGCGGAAAATGGGCGAAAAGTGATGTGTACATTTTAAAGATTATAGAAATCCAGCACCAGGCTGAAGAAAGGATCCAATTATATATGAGCAATAGTGATTTTCTGTCCAATCGGTTTGAAACTCAGTTTCAAATATATTTTTGACAAACCCATAATACCCTCTGCAAGGGTATAAAACTATAATATGTATGCAATTTCACGTCGACATAGAACCTTATTCTACTTAATTCCAAACGGTTCTCATAACCAATTGTCGATTAAACTTATTATTTGCACTTAATACTAGAGTTAAAGTATCTAAAACTAGGACTTACCACTTACTATTCAAGAGTTTTTTCCCCTTATTTCAACATAGGTCACGGGGGCGTCAATCAATTGGGAGGCGTGTTCGTTAACGGTCGGCCCCTACCCGACGTCGTCCGGCAGCGAATCGTGGAGCTGGCCCACAACGGCGTCCGTCCGTGCGATATATCCCGCCAGTTGCGTGTGAGCCATGGCTGCGTTTCAAAGATATTATCAAGGTTAGTAAATTCATTCATTAATAAGAAACCAACAGCGATCTGGCCAAAGGTACCCCGCCTAGCAGTTATCCTGATCTGCTTTAACAATCGTCTATATATAACGTATATATCCGACAAGCCAGAGATTCCGGGCACTCCGACTAGGGGATACCCTCAATCTTCGTTTGCCTCAATATTCATAAAATAAAATTAAAAAAAAAAGGGTTCCCTGCGCCGGAGTCGAACTCGCAACTATCTTCAAGCGACCGAAACCGCTTGCCGTCGCCTCATGCACCACGGCCATACCAAGAATAGAGCGCAAAAAGAAAAACAACTAATTTAAATAGCATACAATACAGTGTATATGTGCACATGCATACAGAAATTCTTGGAATTCGCGCTACCACGTTTCTTGCAACAAAAACGTTTTCTTTAATAAAATCTGTGTTTCTTAACCGATCTGGGTGAAATTTTCAGGAGTAGATCTTATTGTGCTGTAGAATATTTGTATATTATCAAAAAGACAATAGCATTGTGGCTCTACTTTGTGGAGAGGTTCAATTGGGCTCTTTATTATACCCTGAACCCATTGAAAATGGGTAAAAGGGGTATTATGTATTTGTGCAAATGTATGTAACAGGCAGAAGGAAGCATCTCCGACCCCGTAAAGTATATATATATTCTTGATCATCAATAGCCGAGTCGATCTACCCATGTCCGTCTGTCCGTCCGTCCGTCCGTATGTATGAACACAAGGATCTCGGAACCTATAAGAGCTAGAGACTTCAAATTTTAGCTGAAGGTCCTCCTAGTCCCCACGCAGATCAAGTTTGTTTCCGATATTCTATAACTTGCCCCGTTTCCAAGTAATCGATAAAAATCGATATCGAAATCCTGTTTTTGAGCAATTTCGGCAAATAATATGAGCTAGAGTCACAAAACTTGACACGTAGCTTCTAGAATAGTATATATATATCAAGTATCTTTCATTTTATTCCTATCGCCTGTCGGAAGCAGAGTGTTCAGGGTATCCCCTAGTCGGGAGCTTCGGACTAGAACTTCTTACTTGTTTTATTTATTGCTATGGGGCAGAGGCGGCGGTGACTATAGCCATAGAAAGAAATATATTTGATCGGTATATACTTTTGCACCTACATGCCCAGGATTTTGATATCGATTCTTACCGATTGCTTGAAAAGTTTCCAGTCTCTTGCTCTTATGGGTTCAGAGATCGAAGCGTTCATATATACGGACAAACGGACATATCTAGGTAGATTGACACGGTTATTGGTGCTGATCAAAAATATATATATATATGTACTTTAAGGTGTGCAAGACGCTTTGCATTTTACATTCATCAGGGTATAAAAAGTGAAATAGTTTTTGCATACTAAATTCGATGTCTTTGTCTTCTTATCTCTCTTATTATGAAATTAAGAAGAGCTACCGAAACTTGTCGTGAGAATGACATACAAGAAAGTCCCCCAATTTAAGGTCTCGGGCAGAAAGTTCTTAAAAAAGATTTTCCATTTTCATTAACAACAAGAATAAGCTTTTATTTATAGTAACGTATCCTGATACATCTCGTTATAATAAACTGTTTCTCTCTAAGAGCTAGAAACTATCGTAAATAAAGATTGGGCTGTGAGAAATTCCACCTGCAAGTGTGGAAAAACCACGAAACTCATTTTCAATGATATTTGTACAAATTCATTTGAGAGATGTTTCACACTTTTCAGTCCCAGGCGAAAAATTACCTTAGGGGTCAAGATTTGTTGGGCAAAGTTTTAAATTTCTTCTGATCTACTACCAATTGTTAATTGCATTTTTGATTAATAGTTTTTAATAAAATGGAAGTTGTTCGTGGTCCATTTATTTGGAGCCTCATGATGAATCTCTCTCGCTGGCGCAGCTCAAAAGGATGTGCTCATCCTGATTAAGGCTCGGTCGCGCCTTGAGATTGATTTTTTCTTACTTGTTTTTAATAGAGTAAACCCCATTATGTTTCAATAAAACGATATTATATGTGCTATTGCTTAAAGCGTATATTTTACAGTCTTTATTCGGCAACTCGAAATCCCTCTACGAGTTGTAATTGGGATGACTTTGTATATTACGGCGGGCTAAATATGTACATGTGTACATTCCGTCATTGTCAGATGTTGTACAGGAGAGGGAAAACAGAGGGAAATGATGGCAGAGAGAGGGTGCAGGGTGCAGGGTGTAGATATAAATGCATGCAGTCGTTACATCCCGTGTGTACAAGGTTTGAGTTGGCCACAAAATCCAATGCAAATAGGATAATAAATCTCTGCGAGCGCATGTCCTGGCCATGACTGGGTGTAATCATATGTTGCTGGCTTCGGCTCATCCTCATCCTCGCATTGAAGGAAAACATTGTCCGGGACCTAAACGATGGCTGACATTTAAATTGTTTGTAATTGAAATGGTAAAATTTGTGGTTCCGTATGAAAATGTTTGCATTAATCAACGTGTCCGCGCTGATGTGGGCCGATATTGACATTATAGTACTTAGTTATTATACTCAAACAAAAAATGTTTTCTTTTTTTACGGTCCTACTTCTGCTCCCTTAATACTCCGAACCCATTGAAATAAATGTTGTATATATTCTCTATCGGCATTAACAGACGATTCGGTTCTCTGTCTACATATGTTAATAATGTTAATCTTGAAAATCGTAAGAGCTAGACTCTTAGAGTTTAAGGCGTAGATCGTCCACTATCAAATTATCGATATGTTTATCGTTTGCGTTAAATCGATATCGTAATTCATTCCTTTCCGCCTATCTCACGGCTTATAGGAGCTATATGTACAAAATATATGTAGTGTACACATCAGAATGCCAGACTTATTCCCCTATAAATTTAAAAAAAGGTCGGACACCGAAGTGTATTTCCCATACTGCGGGGCTAATGGAAAAGGAAGCACAAGCAATCGGCGAATATGTCCGTTTTTTTTCTTTGTGAGTTGATTGATTTCAGCATCCATCAGGCACTGATAAATAGTCAGGTGGTAGTCAGGTGGACAGCTGGAATAATAACAATGAGATGAGCTAATACAACATTCCATATCAATGTTCAATTTTTAAAGGGTTGTCGATTTAGTTGTTGAAGGTTATCCGATTACTACTGGGCATCATTTTTGTTGGGCTTTATCCTTAATATAATATAATATAATACATAAGTAAATATATATATAATGGTAAAGCGATGGTAATGTTTGATTTAATATCTATATATCGGAGATAACCCCTTTAATTAAATTTTTGTAAATTGTATTTTCACTCTTTAAGAGCTCAAATCTATATCTTCAACTTATGAATATGGAGTGCTTTATAAAATCTGATCAATTGTGGGAAAGTATTTTCTATTTTTATGGTTTATATCAATTGTAAGAATTATTTCTATATCACATCTGGTAGGCAATGGGCAATTCTTCTATACCATAATACTTTTAGGCATCCGAACATCCGATACATATAAACTGTTTTTTTTTCAGATACTACGAGACTGGTAGCTTTAAAGCAGGCGTCATAGGCGGCTCCAAGCCGAAGGTCGCAACCCCGCCCGTAGTTGATGCCATTGCGAACTACAAGAGGGAAAACCCAACAATGTTCGCCTGGGAGATTCGGGATCGGTTGCTGGCAGAGGGAATATGTTCGCAAGATAATGTCCCCAGCGTGTCCTCAATAAATCGGTAAGTTTATTTTTATCCTAATAAAAACAGGAATATGTAAGCAATTTTTGTAAAACGAAAACTCGGACAAGTTTTTCTATTCAAATTAAAAATATCGTTTTTCCAGCCGCTTCCCTAGCCTAAGCCCCTCAAACACATTCCAGAAGATCTTTGCCAATTTATCCGACTCTTTGTAAATAATTAGAATTATTCGAACCAGCGACCGCTCTCGCTTGTAAGTCCGACGCGCAGTCAGTCAGAACTAGCGCGTTAATCGAATAACGAACCAAAAGTTTGAATCAACTTTTCCTGCCAATGTGTTAGTCTTGTGGTGAAAATCTTGAACCAGAAAATAAGTTCGATCATTTCCAAAGGTGCGAGTGGTATTTCCGAAATCGCTGAAACACCTATTCATTAAGTTTTTATAAAGTGCTTTGAAAATAAGTTTAAGACCGATCGGACAAGAATTAAACATTCGCAAATTTCCAATGTTGCGGGTGAAAATTCCAAAATCAATGAAACACGTATTTATTCGATTTTCATGCTTTGCTAATTATCGCGATTATCCATAGAAGAGTTTGGATGCTGCGGAGAGCTTGAATATTGGCTCAAATGACTTACTTTGTAAATAACACTTGCGAGTGGAATTCTCAAAATGTTTTTCACGATTTTTCCACACATGCGAGTTGAATTCTCAATGAATTCTACATATATTCTCTATCAGAGGCCGTTGCCGATTGGCACTGTGTTTGAGCCCCACTTACACCAGGGAAAATTTTTGAAACACCTCTCGAAAGAATTTGAACAATGAAACGTTTTTCACGATTTTTCCACACATGCGAGTGGAATTCTCAAAACACCGTCTTAGCGTGCACCTCCATCACAAAATCTAACTTCAAATCTAGCTATTCACCAATCAGTCAGTCAGTCAGTCAGTCAGTCCGTCAGTCAGTTCGTCAGTCAGTTCGTCAGTCAGTCTTATATATAGAGAATATGTTCGTGTAATTACATATCTGTGAGTCGATGTGACCTCTATCAGGGTCCGTTGCTGATTGGTGATATGCAATCATGTGTACAAGTAGATTTGTGGACTTGTATACCTTGGAACGGAGTCAACAGTTGGATGCTCGTTACCATAATGTGAGTATTAGTCCTGCAGTGCTTGGTTGCTGTCATGCAGCTTACTTCCGAATCCGAATCCGAATCCGTTTCCGGCAGAGTCCGTGTTGATGGGTGCGGCTTACAGTGGCAACGGCAAAGGCAAAGGCAGAGGGCTAATAAAAATATCTAAGTAGTTTTCAGCGTTCATAATTGTGGCACAATGCTTGACACACGACCACCACAAAAGCCAGCTTCCTATCCGTGTTCCGGCGCAACATTCCTGCCATCATCTTCATCATTTTTGTCGTCGTCGTCGTCGTCGAAATGTACGCACTTCCTCTTTGACCATAATTCATTTTATTTGGGTGCCAAGGATATGCCAGCAGGCAGCTGCTCTCAGCGGCTCGAGGACCGCTCTTTTACGAAAACCATAAATTAACTGGCTACAACAATAATTGTAATTCGGGCGGCGGCCAAGGCGGTCGGCTGTCGAGAGGGGGGGGGGGGGGGGGGTGTCGGTACTGAGGTCAACACGCAAAAATGTTCCGCATTTGTTCAACACTCAAACACCACGCGAACAGTGTTACCAACGTCCGCTGCAAAATTGTTAAAAGTATACGGAAAATGGCTGATTTTGCTTTCTGAGCACAAATTCTCAATAGACAGGTGGCAATGTCGAGAAACAGGAATTAACTAGCCCATTTTTGATTTTCGCACGTCCCGATCCTTTCTTCCATATTACAAGTCTTCAATGTTAATAAATAAAAAGAGAAATTTGTAAAAGACTCACATTTAAATACCGAATGGAAGGATTTCATTCCGGCAGAATGTCTTTGGGAATTTCGGGATACCGCACAAAGTGCGCGCATATCGCAAACTTAAAAAATTAGTTTCCGTACCGATCATTCCGGTGCTGTTTGCACAACTCGCAGGATTTTCATCCCAATCCGATCTCAAGTTTTTACTTAAAAAGAAGCTAAACCATTTTAAAATTTCAACTGCTGCCTAGCTAGAAAATAGCTGAATTGGCATCAATCCGCCTTTTGGCCACCCCGAAGCCAAGCCAAAGCCAGCCGAACCCATTGCTGTGTTTTTGGAAGCTGCAACCACACGCGGCACGTGCACCCATTCAGAATCAATTCGCCACGTCTAGGAGTATGCAAAGCGTCGTCGGTATTAGGGCATTTGATGTGACCGATGCGATGGGTAATTCAAGAGCGTATTCCAAGGGATAATCAGCATTAACTTGCCTTAATTCGACAATGTGTGATTCAATGTCACTCGAGCAATGATTAGGGCGCACGATTCAATCATCTAACACATATGTATATACGAGTATGTATGTATGTTTACAGATTTACAGGCCCTCACAGCAAGTGTTAGTCCAGTTTCCCGTCCGTCCGTCCCCCCATCAAATCCCAGTTCAGTCTCCCTGGGGAAAAGCGCTTTAAAAGTGACTTTGCCAGCACTCAACGTAGGCCAATCGGCTGCCCACCCACCCCTCCCTCACTTCTCCCCTCCCTCACTGGCAAACAATGGCAAATAAACAAATCGAACGTATATGAAGGCAGCATAACACCGCGCATCCCAAACATATGTCCCAATTGTGTGCACTGTCCAACGAGTCAGCCAGGCAGCACCCTCTTAAAATTATATCTCAACCCGGTGAGATTGTTCTTTTTGCTGACAAAAACATAATTTGATTCGATTCTGCTTGAGTTGGCCCGCCAATCCACAAACCCCTGCGAGCCGAGAATGTCCTTCGAGCACTCCAAGCACTTATGTACATATGCTCTGCACAATATTTAAATAGACTCGACTTTGTGCTAGTCAGTTGACTTAATATGGGCTTTAGAGCAAGCTTGAAACCAATTAACGAGCCCCTCAATTACCCTCTTAGCTACGTTTTTTGGGGTCGCCAAATTACAATAGTTATTTTCTCACCCGCGGCCATCGACATAAAGTTGAAGTTAATTTAATAGAACAATCCGTATCAAAGAGTCCCCTGGTGGTGCCGCCGCCAGGCCGCATCATCGCAATCATGGTCTTGTGAAATGGAGCCTTGAGGTGGAAAGAGAGTGGATTTTCCCCCGCAACTTACCTGAGCCAATGCCACAAATTGACATTGCCAGACAGAAGACTTTATTTAGTTTGATGCGACAATTACAGCGTTATATAGATAAACATTATAGAACATCCCAGCCAAATACTTGAGTTTCTTTGCAATGAATAAATGGATTCCTTGCCTTGTACCCGACTAGGATATACCCTAACCCCGTGCCGAGCTACGTATACAACCATATCATAATATTTAACAGGCAAAAGAAATGTTTTCAATTTTGTATAGAAACTCGAACATTTTTTTCAATTCAAATTAAAAATATCGCTTTTACCGACTTCCTTTCTAGGATATCTTGCGTTTGCAGTACACAGGGATGGTAACAAAAAAGGACATAGAAAAAGTCCTGATTACCCGACTAGGATATACCCTGACCCCGGGCCGAGCTACCTTTACAAACATTCTAGCTTCATTCCATAAATACTCACGTATACGTACGAACTTCTTCTTCTTCCACACTATGGAATGTGTTTTCTTGAATGTCATCAGCTTTTATGGACCAATCTTAATGAAATTTTCGACAGTACATCGTATTGTAGAATAGAATAAAGAATATTTGTGTATTCCCAAAACTGCAATTGCATATAAATCGTGGCTTATATTGATGGGAAATATAAGTTGGATAATTAACTTGATTTATAGCTTTGAGGTAGTAGCGGGGAATTGGCGATAGGTATAAAATGAAAGATACTTGATACATATATATGTATATATATATATACATATACATATACTATTCTATTCTGGTGACTCTAACTCATATTATTTGCCGAAATTACAAAAGTTATGTGCGCACGTGTGTTAGCAGCATAGCTGCTGCGCAAATTCCAGGAATTTCTGTATACATGTACACACACACACATTCATGCGCGTCTGCTTTGAATTCTATCAACAGCATTGCAATTGCGATTTTATTGTTTTCTGTGCTGTTATTTGAATTGGTTTTTTTCTCATTAAAGCCCAGTTATTGGTGTGGCCCTTGAGTAGAGGCAGCGGCAAGTGGTGCGGTTAGTTGCGAGTTCGAACCCTGCCAAGGGAACAATTCTTTTTTTATTTTCATTTTTCTTTATTACTACTAAATCAAACGAGCGCGTAGCGCGAGCTGCATTTGGTGTTGAAAGAAGAGGGTTCAGGGTATCCCCTTGTCGGGAGCTCCCGACTAGAACCTCTTACTTGTTTGGATATATTATGATTAATGGAGATGGTCTTTTCACTCTTTTCAGGATCGTTCGTAACAAAGCAGCGGAAAAGGCAAAACACGTACACCATCACCAGCAGCAGCAGCAAATGCAGCCGAGCCTGAGCAATGGACACATTGGCAATGAGAGCCTTGACAGCAGCACGGGCGCTGTCAGCGAGCAGCAAGCGCCCAGCGCCGGCGGCAACGGTAACGGCAACGGCAGCAACAACTCCAGCAGCAACAACAACAACAACACAAATACTTCAGCGTCGGTCGTGGCGCGTACAACGGGATTGGGCGCAGTTGCGGCGCAAGAAACGGGCGCTGCCGTCAGCAACAGCGCTGCTCCGCACAATGGGAACAGTAGTAATGGGAACAGTAGCGGAACAACGAGTCAACAGGGCACAGAGCAGCGATCGTCTGGATCGGGATATAGCATAAACGGCATACTGGGCCTACAGCACGGCCATCATATACACAACAACAACAGTAGCACAAATAACAATAACAATAATAACAACAATACCTCGGATTCAAATTGCAAGCGCAAACGAAATGAAGTTCATGGTAAGTAGGATATTGTATTAAAATCAGATACATACTTTTCAGATATACTTTTCTTCAATTCGGACAGAATAATAATTAAAATGTTCTCTTTTCTGCGCCATGATGGGCTGAGATAAGTTTAAAATATCGCGTTGAAATCTTGCATGAATCCGATTTGTTTTTTTTTTTTCAACACTGAACTATTATATTTTGGTGTTGTCGTACACCAATTTTAGAGAAGTTAAAAATCTAGTTAAAAACTATCGATACTTTTACCGTTACAGAGATCAATCGTTATACATTATGTTTAGATAATATTCTGGCTATGTGACAATGTGGTTTGACAAAGTGACAAGTCGCCAAAATTACTTACAGAAAAAGATAAGCCTCAGAATTTGTTTTTCTATATTAAACTCTCGTTTCTTAAGATAGTTTACCATGCTTCTTACATATAGCTAGTATGGTATCAACATCGCATTAACTAATCATATAGCACTATATAAAGAATCGGTTAAAAATCAATTACAATCTATCAAAAGAACTTTCTTCATAAAAAGAAATGAGCATGTCATCCTTCTGCGCCCTCTCTGAATAAAAAATTCTCCCAGCCATATTCTGTCAGATACTTTTTACACTCTGCTAGAAGAAATTACCCGGCGTTGAACGGGACATATTAATAATGGTAAAATGCAAGAATTCACTGATATCGGAATAATAAGTTTGAGGCAGATCGAATGTAACTTTGACCCTTATTTATTTATCAAAGAGGCGCAGATCTTTCGAAAAGTGAGAAACACGTAAAACCCTTAAGCTTAATTTTCCACTGAGGAAAGGAGCGTTAACTTCCATCACATAAGTTAATAAAAGTCAAAATTTCAGCTTTCTAGCTCTTACGGCTTGGGTTGTGCGTTAATCACCAATCAGTCAGTCAATCAGTCAGTCAGTCAGTCAGTCATGACAAAAAGTTTTAAGTATATAGATATACAAGTATTTAGTACGAAGGGATATAAGTATTTTATATGTATGTGTGTGTGTTTGGCTCTGTGTGTGTGTGTATGTATGTGTGTGGGCGTGTGTATGTTAGTGTATGCATGCATGTATGTACGCATTTATGTATATACATATGTATGTATGCATGAATGTTGGTTTTCTAATACCAAAGGCAGACCAAGCTTGTCGCTGTGCTGCAAATTTAAATAAAACGAATTTCTGCCAAGTGCTCTACTCCTCGATTCTCAAGAATTCAAGTAGGCTCTGCCGCTTTTCATGCTTAGCTAGTAGTGTAGTTTTTTCTGGTATTCTTTTTTGGTTGTTTTTTGTTGTTGTTTTGTTGTTGTTTTGTTGTTGTTTTGTTGTTGTTTTTTTGTTGTTTATGCATGTATGGATGTATGGATGTATGGATGTATGGATGCATAGATGTATAGATGTATGGATGTATGGATGTATGGATGTATGTATGTATGTATGTATGTATGTATGTATGTATGTATGTATGTATGTATGTATGTATGTATGTATGTATGTATGTATGTATGTATGTATGTATGTATGTGTGTATGTATGTATGTATGTATGTATGTATGTATGTATATATATATGTATGTATGTATGTATGTATGTATAAATGTATGTGTGTATGTATGTTTGTGCAAGTATATATGTATATGTACGTATGTATGTATGCATATATATATATGAGTTTGTACGTATGCAAGTGTGCATGTATGTAGGTATCCGGACATGTATTCATACATGTACGCATGCATGCATGTTTGAATATAAACAAAAGAAACATACATACATGTATTTACAAACAGGCATATATGTATATACTAAAATGCAAACTTAAAACGTCGCCCAAAAAAAAGTTTCACACAAACATTATTTGCGATTTTTCCACACATGCGTTTGGAATTTCCCGAAACCCCGTCTCAACATGACCTTCATCACATAAGGTAACTACAGTGAAAATTACAGTCTCATATATTAGAAGCAAAGTGAAACTTGAAACTTAATTATGATGAATTTGTATACCCTGAACCCATTGAAAATTGGTAAAAATGGTACAATGTATTTGTGCAAATGTATATAACAGACAGAAGGAAGCATCTAGCCATGATCGCATCTCAGAACCTATAAAGGCTAGAGACTTCAAAAGTTTGAACATATGTTAGGTCCTCCTAGTGTCTGCGCGTTACGAGTTTGTTTCCGATATTCGATAACTTTCCCCCTTTCAAAATAATCGACAAAAAGTGATATCGAAATCATGTTTTTTGAGCAAATTTGGTAAATAATAAGAGCTAGAGTCACCCAACTTGACATGTAGCTTCTTGAATAGTATATATATATTAAGTATCTATATACGTATAGAATATACAAATATTCTATAGTACAATAAGATCTACTAAATCTAAATTCCATTAAGATCGATTAAGAAGCACAGAAGTTATTAAAGAATATATGTTTTGGCTGCCCACGTGTCTGGGGCAGCAGGCGCAAATTGCAAGTATTTCTGTATACATGTACACACACACATTCATGCGCGTCTTATTTGAATTCTTTCAACAGCATTGCTATTGCGATTGTATTGTTTTGTGTGCTGCTATTTTTATCCGTTTTTTTTTCTCATTAAGGCTCAATTATTGGTGAGTCTTTTGAGTAGAGGCGACGGCAAGTAGTGTGGTTTGTTGCGATTTCGAACCCTACCGAGGGAATTATTTGTTTTTTATTTTAAATTTATTTTGATTACTGCTAAAGCAAACGAGCTGCATTTTGTGTTGGCAGAAGTAGATTCAGGGTATCCTCTAGTCGGGAACTCGTGACTAGAGCCTCTTGTTAAATCAACTTGTTTATATAAGAAGAACATTCTCAATAGCTATGTATATCGAATCAGCTCGTCGAAGTTGTCGCCTTCAGAGCGTTACAGATTGCTTTTGCAACATTTGATAGCCCTCTTCAAGGGTATAATACTAAGCACAGTACACTTACAGAGTGGATTTGGACATTTGCAATTAATTTGCTTAAAATTGATGCAAGTTGAGAAATCACTACCACTTTTTGCACGAACGATGACGATGAGACACGCCTGTACACACTAGGTGTTTGTTGTAATCCTATCTGGAAGGGTGGAGCTCAGTGCTCACGCCCAGTTTCCATCCCCTAACGACACTTTGACCAGATATTCAGTTTCGTTCTGCCCGTTCTGCGGAAATCAAAATGATTTGAACAAATTTGCCACAAATACAAGCCTAAGTATCTACTACATACATTCACTTTAGGCAACTGAACTCTATTCCTCCGGGAATCGATAAGCAATCTCGAGCAAATGCACAACGATGGGCCACAAAAGGACGCCGAAGGCTGAAGGTCCGGGCCTAGAGATGGAAGTTCGTGCAGCGACAAGCTCAGACTAAAAGAATTGAATTTGAGAACAGATGTCAAATTGATATGGTGTCAGGAAAATTGTAAGCAATTAAAGCAGATCTCGACAATCCTTTGGAAATAAGCAACATTTTAGTACAATTTTTACAGCAAATACTTTCGATTAAGAGCGAACACGTTCAAAGGACAATTTTTGGTAATTTTCTTTGGTAATCTTAAATAAAATTCAGCAAAAACAAATAAAGCGTTCTTCTCGACCGTATCGGGCCGTCCCTCGGTGTGCTTTTTTCGTGTGGAAAAAGCGTGTTTCGTGTTCGTGCTGGACCGTGTCGTAAAAACACGCACTGCGCTCATCTCTAGTCTGGGGCTGATTTAGGTTCAAGTTTGCTTTTGCTCTTTTATTGCCGCTCAGGCACCAGTTGTAGTTGTAGAGTCTGAAAGGATCAGAAGGAACGTTTTATCAAATTCTTGTGTAACTACAATTGCTTTGGCTGGCAATGGGCTAAAATGGTTCTGCAATTTTTGAATGAAACATCATCATTGTCTTCTGAATTTCCCGCCTCCGGACGACTGTCGCCGGGGGTGCGATTTTTTGTTAAATTACTGTTTGTGGGCGATTATTGAAAATGACAAGTGCGAGTCGTGTTCCATTTAGAAACCCATCTGACATGGTATGGCATTATTATTATTACTTAACGGCCTCTATCACCCCATTAAGATGCAGTACGGCCTGATTCCGTATCCCTTAGTACCTCAGCACTCTGTCCAAAGCCAATCATAACCATCGCATCTTTTAGAGATGATATCTCTTTGGACCAGCTGCGGGGAAGCATGTGCTGCGGTTAGATGACGACCCTAATGTAGCCACAATGTGTCAATGTGTTCTGCTATCCCCCCTAACTCGGACCAGATTCAGCGATATGCAAATTACGGATTATATTCCCGCGAAGTGTGATTTCCGTGTCTCGGCTTGACTTACTAAAGATACATCTTGAACGAAGCGCTACATTAAAGCAACACAGATTTACGTATCAGGCAGAAGAAAGCATTGAGCGGAGATTTTATTTATAAAGTTTATATATGTTCGTGATCCGGACGTCGATTTTCATGATATAAAACTCTTTTGTTTTTTATGTTATACGGTATTATGGTATTACATTCCCATCTCAGAGACTAATTAATTATTATCCAGATCCAGATCCAGAATATTCAACTTTTAGATCTGCCCACATTCCCCCCAAGTGGTAATATCTCATTTTCGGAGGTATATCCCTTGGATTTGATAAATATATTGTTATCTAAACCATTTAACTACAAAAGTTCATAAAGATCGGACTATAGGCACCGAAGTTAAGCGGATTCAGGGAGTGTGCGGGACTATGAAGGATGCAGCGGGTATTACCCGGCCTTGCCCGTGCCAAGTTTTGTGCTAAAAATATTACTTCTTCATCTGGCTGCCGCCCGTAATAAGAAACATGTTAATATAATTATAAACTTGTTATAACTAAAAAAAGATAATGTCCAGATGCAGGTCTCGTTTAGTATGTACAGACTATAAATATTTCACTTTCTTGAAGTGAAAAAAGCCGCATTCTTAGAACTAGTTTGTCTGCATGAAGAAAGCTAGGATGACTGTAAAGGTAGCTCGGCTTTTGTTTCAGGGTATCTCCTATTCGGACACTGTGCTTTTTGGATACGGGCAAAGCACTATGAGGATTATGAAAAGATAAAGTTGTTGTATGGAAAACTTTTTTGTTTTCCACGATATCCTGACCAAACTCGGCATTTATTTGTTTTACTGTGCTCCTCATATATATGCAAAATCCTATCAACATCGGACCACTATATCATGAAACTTCCATAGGAATGATCGGTCGAAACTAACTTGTTGTATGGAAAACTTTTTTGTTTTTCGAGCCATTTTAACCATACTCGGCATTAGCTATTTTCCCTGTGCTACTATGAGCATTATGAAAAGATTGGGTCTGCAAGGGTATTAAATATTCGGCGTGCCGAAGATAGCCCTTCTTTCTTGTTTTTATAATGACATACGAAAATAACAATTATATGTTGTCATGTGTATTAATCAATTAGCCGTAAGCACATGTTATCAAGATCTTGCTTAAATTCAAGGGTGTTACGGAAATTCCGAAAGTGGAGCACAATACGTTCCAAATAAGGCCCTATTGCTTCTTGTTTCTTTTGAGTCATCGTTGTCGCACGTGTTTTTGTTGAACTTGGCTGAGTTACACAAAATGAAAGTAGCCAATAATTTATCCAAATCGCTACAATTTGAATGGAAGCCAGCATATTAGCTGGGAGCTTGAATATGACATTTTAAGCCTTCTTGTTTTCGCGTATAACATATTTATCTTAACACATTTGCGTCTTGTGCCTACTCGCAAATGCACTTAACTGGCACGTGTCCCGTCAGAAAAGAGTCCGGCGCAAATGTAACAGCCGTAATTGAATTAACAGCACAAGTTGGGGGTGAGAAGAAGGAGGGAGGTGGGAGAGACGGAAGGCACATGCCACAGATGTAAACAGATACTGATACTAACATTAGAAAGGGATTAATCAAGTAAAACACAAGTAAATAAACACACATATTATTTACATAGACGACATATGCTAAATTGAAAAAACTTAACAAATATGCTTAATATGTTATTCACTCTTTCAGATGAGAACCGAGATGTTAACATGAATTCCGAAGAGGATGTAAAGCGACAGCGCTTAGCCTACGGCGGAGATCAGATATACACAAATGTAAGTGCAACCTACCTTAACACTTTTTATACCCTGAACCCATTGAAAATGGGTAAAAAGAGTATATTGTATTTGTGCAAATGTATGTAACAGGCAGAAGGAAGCATCTCCGATCACAAAAAGTATATATATTCTTGATCAGCATCATGTCCGTCTGTCTGTCCGTCCGTCAGTCCGCCCGTCTGTCTGTCCGTATGTATGAACGCAAGGATCTCGGAACCTATAATAGCTACAGACTTGAAATTTTAGCTGAAGATCGAGTTTGTTTCCGATAGTCGATAACTTACCCCGATTCCAAGTAATCGATAAAAATCGATATGAGCTAGAGTTACCAAACTTGACAAGTAGCATCTAGAATAGTATATATATATCATATATATATATATCGGGAGCTCCCGACTAGAACCTCTTACTTATTTTAACATAAATATTTTATAATACTAAATAATAAAGTTGTTACTCATATACTATCAGGAGTATTAAAAGTCTTTTGTAGAGACATAAATGACATGTTTACGGACTGAACAGAGAATTGCAAGTACATAAAAGAACGTATATAATATAGTTGATTATATGAGTCCGATTTCATTCGTGTTCAATGTTAACCTGAAAATCAAAGTCGAAGCTAAATCCGTCTGTCTTCTTGTCCGGCTGTTGTATCTCTTACAATAATTATAGCATAAGATCTGCTAAACTTCAATAAGGTAACTTTTAACCAATTAGTCAGCCAGAACAGACAATTTTAAATACAAATTAAATGCAATTTGCGCTCGCTTCTTTTTTTTAGTTAGGAAATGCCATGAATAACTTCGGAGCTTGTTGTCCGATTTCTATAAAATTCCCAGGTCAAAATTTAGCATCGCAAGGCTAAAAATCAATTGAAATTAGTTTATTTCATAGATGTATATATAATATTTTTATATATTATTTATTTAAAGAATAAATATATCATCGAAATATTTGTATATACCAAGACTAGTTTTTTTTAATTTTAGGGTAATGTGAGTTGGTGTCGGAAAAGGGGGATATGTTTTTAATCAATTAGAAGCCAAACTAATAATACCCTCTAAAATTATATAAAATGTGCAGTTTAAGGGAACTTTTCCTATATTTTTTACAAATATTGCTTATCTATTTATTTATGTGTCATTTAATTGGATTTTTTCTATGAAACATTTGAAGATTTGGTCTGGAAAATGGTGCATCAAGGATGAGCACAAGCTGCTGTCGGAGCTTGGTAATTTCACAACGACCAGCACAAGTAGCGCACCTGCCTATTTCGAGGCTCCAAATGGATATTCGACGAGCACAATACCCTGTGCGGGAGTCGGCGGTGCCGTGGCGGCGAATGACTCGTCCATGATGTACGACAGCATAGCCTCGATATCGCAGGGCCAGAGCACGCTGTACACGCCGCCAATCGGACCCTCAATCGGTTAGTGAATGCGAAAAGAAATCAAATCAAATTCCCTTTACTTTATTTATTTATTATTATTTGTTTATGCATTTGAATTTTGATTTGGATTGTGCACAACATTTCTTGACCAAACTGTAGGCAGCAGTTCTTTGACGCCATTAATGCCTTTAAGCTTGCAAGACATGAAATTCAGTGCAAATAATCAGGAGCAAACCATTTCGCCTTTTTACACAGGTAAGGAATTGCTCAAGCCAACTGAAGATTAAAGATACTATATATGTTCTACAATAGCGAAGAAATTACTAACAATAACTCAAGTCAAATGAGACGAGTTTTCTATATGTGTTTTGCGGTCAAGCAGGCAGACAATTTATTTATTTATTTACTAATGGTCGACAAAAACGAGTCTCTTCCCAGTTATTCAATACATCAGCAATACATCAACAATACATCACATTATGAAAATTAAATGCTAAATATGCCTAGTTAGAATACACAATTTTCGAATAAGTAGCATCATTTGCCCATCCGGCCATTTACAATATTATCTAAGAAAATAGAAAGAAAGAAGTTATTTATAAAGCATAGAAATTTCTACTAGATATATAGAGTCTTAAGTAGATGGGAGAGAGAGATAGCGATGGGAAATCTCCGACCCGTGGGGAGGAGGGGGGGAATATATATAGCTTGCCCCGAGTTCCTGTTGCTATCCTGATGAGAGCAACGATTCTATTAGGTATGCCAATCCCCAGAAATGTGTCTGCCATATATCTGCTGCCAAATCGAGTCTGTGCACTTTAAATCGGTTCTTCCAAATAAACTCATTTTAGTTGTTGTTGAAAGGTTAAAAGGCTATTGAATGAGCAAAATAATATTTTAAGAAATAGGAAGAAATAATTTTAGTTAGCTTGATCTTCGGCCTAAACTAAATTTGTGTCAAGGAGCGGACGACAAACCAAGTTGGGTTTCTTTTTGCAATCATAAATATGACCAAAAAGAGGATGCAATCGAAGAGTTGAAGAGCTTGTGGTAAGGATTTTGTCGTTGCAACGAAACCATTTTGGGGATCAGGCGCGAAGAGGTCAAGGCTCTCTCAATAAGCGCATTATTGAGAACAAAGATAGAAACGGGTCAACTAAAGGTTTACAGAATTCGTATTCGGAAAATTAATAAAAATGAAATAGCATTTAATTATAGAGTTAAATCTTATTGTCTTGAGTCTGGCAGGTTTGACCGAATCGTTTTTTTGGTAGGCAGATATTTTGGAAAAAAAACATTCCGCTTTGACAGATTTGAGGAGCAAATGTTGCCTTGACGTAATAATTTTCGATTTGAAATAAATGAAATGAAATGAAATGATTGATCAATGATTGATGCTTTTAATTAGCAATTGCCATTGAAAACGGCAATTACCCGACAATAACAAGCCTGGATAACACGAATAGTAGCGCGGCATTGGTGCGTGTTAACGTTGCGAGTCCCGCGAATTGTAATAATTCGCCAAGCTTGGCTCCTTCGAATGAACATGACAATGAGCATAGTGTAGATAATCTGAAGGATTCGGTCAACGATGTGGCCAGAGATGAGAATGCCAACAATAAAAGCCTACGCAATGAGATGGGCAAGCAGCGCGGGATCAGCCATGTCGATCTTCACATGCCCATTACTCACCTAATGCCCGAACCAGTTCCAGTTCCAGTTCCAGTTCCGGATCACCAGCAGCAGCAGCAGCTGTCGAGCAATGGAAACTCGAATACCTCATCTCTGATAGTGCCGCAGGCCAATGCGAATAGCTCCTCGGTTGAGGGACGCCCTGATGTCGACTATAGCACGGCAATATATGCCACGCCCACAATGCTACCCAGTTTTAGCCACTACTCAGCAGGCAAGTCTCGACTCTCTCGAATCGCACTCCTGGCAATCTCTCAGCTGGCATTTAGAACAATTAAGCTCTCGCACAATACTTGGTGGTGGCACTTAAAATTTACCTACAGACAATAATAATAATAATGTCAATAATAATAATAATGATAATAATAAAAATAATATTATTGCCGAGGCATCAAAAGATTTCAACAGTTTTAAGATAGAAATGTTCGCATATTTAGTTATATCTATTTTTTTTGCATAATTTTTTCCATTTTCCTTTAGTTAACCTTAAATAGTTGCAATCTGGTTTCCCTTAGCTTACATTCGATATTAATCAAATGAATTATTTTTTGCAGCGTGCGGCTCGGTAGTGCCAAGTGCCGATTACGCCTATAGTCCCGCCTATACACAATATGGTGGCACCTATGGATCATACAGCTACGGCACTAGCAGCGGCCTAATAAGTAAGTGGCTATAAACAAACAACTCGGAGTGTACTAGTCGCAAATCGCAAGTCCGAAGTCGAAAGTGTCCGCCTATTTAATTCCCTGAGCGCACAGCTACCTTTGCTTCCTTCAATATATATATGTATAACTTTGCCTCGACTTGTATCAACGTTATTGAAATTGGGACAAGTTATCAATAGCAAGTGATAAACAATTGTTTACTTTTCATTTCAAGTCTCTAGCTTAGTTATTGATGCTGCCCAAGATAATATAGAGTAGTTACTATGGGACTCGAATGACTCATTAGTTCATTAGCTCATTAACTGAATCAATCGATTCAAAGTGTAAACAAACGAATTCGAAGTTAACCATGAATATTGATTCCTTTCAGATTCATCGTACTACTATGAAGGCGGCCAGAATCAGGCGTCCCTCAACCAGGATTTACGCTCCCCGCTTGCCGCGACCAGAGCCAACTCTCTGGTCTCCGCCGCATCGCCGACGGGCAGTGCGTGCACAAAGTCGGAGACATCAGATATATTTCTTGTTTAGTGTAGTTCAAACAGAAGGTGACAATTATTATTGATCGACCAATCATTGGAATGCCGGATGGATCTTCGTCAGAGCAGACAGTGTCCAAAGATGCAAACTGGAAGGAAGAACACGGAGCGTTTAGATTTAACAACTGTTCCAAAGAAACATACATATATATATAGATATATATATATATGTGTGTGTTAGCTATCTGTACAAGTACTTAAACGTATTTATCTAAAAGTAGGCAAGAAAAGAAAGACAACGAGTCTGTTGTTATTCGAATGGAAGAGATGAACTGAACTCAACGAGAACAATTCTCATACATTAGTTTATTTGCATTTAAAAATTGATTGGTACGTACGTTCGAAATAATTGCATTTCGGGATGATGAGCAGCGAACGATACTTCAACCAGACCTTAACATACTAATATGTATTAATAATTATTAAGATTACAAAATAATATATCAACTAAGAATGTCGAATGTCGAATGAAACCCGACTCAATACTCGGTTCACATCGTAGTTACCGATTAAATCAGTCGAAACAAGAAAGAATTCTAGCTCTAGACGGGAGTGCCCAATTAGGAGATACCCTGTACCCTGAACCCAAATGATAAACATATAAATATCTTATCTTCTATGCATACCCATTCGATATTTATGAAATCTGCAGGGCCTGGAAAATGGCCCACAAAATTGTGTTCATATCAAATCGCAAGGCTTTTAATTTCCATTACGAATCTTCCAACTTTGGGGGGAATGGTAAGAGCTATCCAAAAGATAAATATTTGTAATCTGTTTTACTATACGAGAAACTACATACACAATTTGGCATATCAATCTATTACCATGTCTCCAGTTCGATTTTTGTCGATATTTTAAGGATGGGTAGGATAAATCAAAAGGAACGAAAAAGAAGGGCTATCTTCGGCACGCCGAAGATTTAATACCCTTGCAGACCCAACCTTTTCATAATCCTCATAGTGCTTGGCCCGGGGGAAAAAATTGTCAAAGTTTAAGGGAAAATAGTTCGATCGTTCTAATGGCAGCTATATGATATAGTGGTCCGATGTAAATAAGATTTGGCATAAATACAGGGAACATAGTGAAACTTATAAATCGCGAGTTTGGTCAAGACTACCTGAAAAATAAAAAACGTTTCCATACAGCAAGTTAATTTTCGACCGATCGTTCCTATGGCAGCTATATGATATAGTAGTCCGATGTTGATAGGATTTTGCATATATATGAGGAGCATAGTAAAACTAATAATTGCCGAGTTTGGTCAAGATATCTTGATAAACAGAAAAGTTTTCCATACAAGAACCTACTTTTCGACCGATCGTTCCTATGGCAGCTATATAATATAGGTGTTCGATCCAGCCGATTCTGACATATGTACTGCGTGCAACACAAAGAGGAACTTCTGCAAAGTTTCATGGCGATAGCTTTAAAACTGAGAGACTAGTTCGCATATCGACTCGGCTTTTGATACTGATCAAGAATATATATGCTTTATGGGGTCGGAAATGTCTCCTTCTACGCGTTACACATTTAACGACAAAATTATGGTACCCTCTGCAAAATATATAAATGATAAGCTTGTTCTGCGTATGGTACAGAAGACTATATATTTTGAAGTCTCCAGGTTTTGTAGTTTCTGATAGACAGAAATGATTAGATCGACATTCTGATCAAGATTATAGATACTTAATGCTTCCTTCTGCCTATTATTGTTACCTTTTTATTTACCGATTAGGGTATTCGTCTTCTTCCTTTTTTATGTTGGTCACTCCAAGACTTTGCATACTGGAACTTTAGCAAAAATCGATTGTTACACTTTGTGAACCAAGTATAGTACATTAACTGGTAACGAGTATATGTACTCAAATGTTTTGTTGTAGCAAAATAATAAATAATAAAATTCACCTTCTTAATAAGATACAGATTGAAACCAAAATCTCTACCAAGAGAAACTCAACCAAAAACTATGTATGCAAGTTTTTCGAAAACTTTTAAAATTATGTAATTTATGTGCTAGGCTTAGATTTAGATTTATATTATATCAAATTTACGTGCATAATTATAATAATTACCTATATGTATGTACATATGTTAAAATTGTACATAGTGATCGTATAAAAGAATGTTATTTTAATTATTACATATTTTTGTTAGAGGCAAAACATTTTTTCGACGAGGCTCGTAATTGAGAAAAGAAAACAAATCAAATCATATATTAACTGATATTTAAAACGAGCCTTGCATATTTCATCCAAGAATATCCAAGAATACCTTTCGACGAGCACTAAAAAAAAAACAAAACAAAATAAAATTAAAATTGGTTGGCAAAATGGAATACGTTCAAAACTTATATTTTAATTTAAACATAATATTATTTACGCAAACACCCACAGAATAATAATAATAATTTTAGTGCTGGTGTATACATCGAACTGTATTTGTACTCGTTAATGTAATTCGTGGATGTAATAGAATATAAGAAAGCACAAACCAAATTCTGTATAAATACATACATACACGGTAAATACTATTCAAATGCATATACAAACATACAAACTAAAAGCAAAACACATAAGAACATAGGGCATGATTTAAATAAACATGGCGAAACTTATGCTAATGTATCGTATCAAATATAATTTCGAAATCTAAACCATTGCAAACACTCCAGATACTTCTTTCTATACTCAAAAACAATTAAGAGTGCTCGAGAGTCGATCTTGATGACATTTTATCAGTAGATTTTATTGCGGCCCAAATTGATTTATATTTTTTTGATTTTGTAACTCCTTAACTCTTATTATCCTAGAGATTTGGTAAAAAAAGAATATCGATATCGATTTGAATCGATTCCTTGGAAACGGGGCAAGTTATCGATTATCGGAAACAAACATGTACGCAGCCACCAGCAGGACCTACGTTCAAGTCATTTTCAAGTCTCTAGCTCTTGTAGATTCGGAGATCCATTTGATACATACGTATGGACGGACAGACAGGCAGATGGACATGGCTAGATCAACGCGGCTATTGATTCTGATCAAGAGTTTATATACTTTAAAGGGCTGAAGATTCTTCCTTCTGCCTGTTACATACATTTCCACAAAACCAATATACCATTTTTACCCATTGATTGGCCAACTTCCATCGAAAATAATATTGTGCACACATATGTTTGATGTCGATGTTGTATTTGTGTTCACATGTTTAATGGAAGAATTTACATGCGTGTACCTTAGTTCTCTTAACATTGATATATAATAATATAAGTAGTATATTTAATAATTATATTACATACAATTGCTTAATTGCGTTTAATACAGAGTGTAGCGTACAGGTTACAATAAGTATTTAGAGCTGCAGAGTTGGGTATTCTCAATTATACATATACATAGTCGCCCGCCCCCCAATCAGCATTATCTCCTTTCACTATAATATTTCGTCTACAGCACTCATGTGATGTATGCCTAGCAAAATCGTTTTTAGTGATTTAATTTCATCTGTTACTTTGCCATCGAATGGAACAGAGAACGAGGAAATTGCAAATTTCCTTTCGAACTTGGCCGTTGCATAGCTAAAGTATTTACGATAAGCTAACGAATTCTATTTGAAGAAAGCCTAATGCTCTCGATCCGTTCAGATGCGGAGACTAGCTTTTATGTAACATAGTTCAATAATCGCCGACAATCGGCCAGCAAAACAGTTGAATCAGTTGGCCTTGGGCATCGATCGCTTACTTGTTCACAAAAAATGCCGGATTAGGAGAAAGATTTGGTGGCATGGCAATCATGTTGCCACCACCTTGTTGCTGTTGCTGCTGCTGCTGCTGCTGGCTCCTTGTGTTCGTTGCGTACAGTTGTTGTTGAAAGCTGTGATATTGCTGGGCATACTTAAGATCATTCGACGAGGGACCAACAAAGTTGACGCCGATTCCACCGCCACCGGAGACGCCGCCGCCGCCGTTGCCAACAGATGACATAAGGTTGCTGTTATTGGGCCCACCCATTACAGGATGTCCTTGACCCTGTACCTGAACCGGCGCAGGGCCTTGCATGCCCACGTTTGGAACGACTTGAGATTGACACATGTTTCCCGGTAGAGGCTTTATGTGCTGTCCCTTCGGTTGCCCCTGTGATGCTGCAAACATTGCTGGCGAACTATTACATGATCCTGGGCCATTGTTGAACATCACACTAGGATCGTTGCAGTCCAATCCATCCGAGCCGCCAGGAAACTGGCCCTGGTGTCGATTGACAATATTGCCACCGGGCGCCTGCAAACGGACGCCCAGTCCACCATGCTGCCGCATGCCGTGGGGCCGCATGCCACGAATCATTGGCGTTTGACTAATGCTCATGTCATGGCCTGGCATACCAACACCTAACGCACCTTCATCGTCGAGGCCAGATAGTTGGTTACAGTTTTGGAAAAAGTTCATATTGATTCCGTTGCCGCCGCCGCCGCCGTGATTGTTGCCCATTTTGTTTTGTTGTTGCTGCTGCTGCTGCTCGCTGGGAGAGTTCATATTCATGGGCCCAGTTCCAATCATCATAGGTCCGCCGCCGCCGCCGCCATCATTTCCAATCGTGTGCCCGCCGACGCTGTTAGCCATATGTGGATTGGCATAGCGCTGCAAGAACTCCAAGCTGGGTGCCATGCGCACATTGCCATTATTATTGCTATTGTTGTTGTTGTTTTGCGGCCGGACTGGCATATACTGTATTGTGTTCGGGGTGCTGGCCTTCACTTGAATATTTGGATTAAAGTTGGGGCCAAAATTGACGGGCATCCGACCCATCATACGAGCGCCTGGTGGTAATATTCCATGATAGCCTGGCCCAGGAACTGGACCCGATCCGTCACGTACTACACCGTTGGGACCTGGACTAAACCCTGGCCCTAAGCCAGCCATCTTGGGATTAAGCATGCGCTGACCCATCGAATTTATCAACGGATTAATTGGATGGCAATTGTTGGGTGCATTGCTACCGGAAGCATGGCTCATGTGATCCATACTCGTCCCATCCAAACTAGGCACCATTCCGCCATGCTCCATGTTCATATCAACTGGGCCCGGACCCATCATATTCATCCCGCCGGCGGGACTGCCCACGCCAGATACACAGCTGGTCAGTTGCTGCGACATCTGTGCTAACGATGATATCGGATCAAAGTTCTGAGTCATTTTGTTCGGTGGTGGTCGATTGCTGCTGTTTGGATTCAGCGGCATATTATCGGATCGACGAGCAAATTGTACAGGTTGTCCACCAGGCCCGCAATTTTGTCGCTGAGAACAACAAAAAACAAAAGAATGTATATTAGTGAGCGACAAGATTCATGCGAGTATGCAAAATATAATAGACGGACAGACAGACGGACAATAAACAAATCCGTATATACTTATTTAAGATTTTGGAAATCGCAAATATTTACATTTACTTCCAGAGGATTGTTGCCATTGGGGCCTTTGTATGCATTCATGGCAGTGTTTGGATTATTTTGCAATTGTGGGTGGGCATTAAAGTTCAGACCAGGACTGGTTGCCGGAAATCGCGAATCCATATTGTTCGGCTCGATCAGATGATTCGAAGAGTTGGGGTTGGCGGGCGAGCGAGCTCGCTGCGGACTTGGCCTTGTGCTTTTCAGATCACCTAAAATCAAAGAAATAAAATGTGTTCCTTTTCTTATTCAAGTAAATTCAATCAATTACCGCCACTTGATGTTGCGTTAAACGATTCGAGCTCCTTGGGCGAGAGGTGCGCAAGCGGCGTACTGGGATTACTGTTCAGATGATGATTCATCACATTTGCCGGGTTGCCAGCAGCACCACGATGCCGACTTGACGGCGATCCGCCATCTGCTTGAAAACAGTTCTTGGATGTTGTTATGGGACCCATATTTGCAGTCGTGGATTGGCTCGCAGATGAGTTTGGTGTCGGCAGCTCCATGTTGGGTGAATTCGATGGCAATCCAAGAGCTCCAGCAGTGCGCGGGGATGGCAGGGAGAGATTATTGGGACTCGATGGATTTGGTGATTGCGTAGCTATTGGCACCGATGCCGACCGTTGAGTGGGATGATAGGGCGGCGGCGGACCTTGAACATTATTACGCATTACCGCATTTGATGTGTTAACAATGGAGCCCGCATTGCTACCCGAACCAGAAGCAATCAGTGGCTGCTGAACACCTGTACCGGCACCTGGGCCTGTACCTGGGCCTGTACCTGGGCCTGTACCTGGGCCTGGGCCTGGGCCAGGCATGCCTAAAGGTCGGCAAGCCGGTTTGCCGACTTTTAAACGTTCTTCGAAAAACTGTTGTTGTATTTTTGTCCATTCCATTGGTGACATACCTCCTTGTGGCATTGGCATTCCCTCTTGGTTACCGATTCCTCCCTTATCACCTATCCCCATAACGCAGTTTGTGTTGCCAAATCCGGCCATCATTTCAGGCGAATCGGCCATCATGTTTGGATTATTTGAGCACTGCATTCCAACATTCATATTGACGTTCATACCACCACCTCCTCCTCCTCCTCCTGGTCCTCCAGGTCCTCCAGCTACAGGCCCTCCTGAAGCGGCAGCTGCTGTAGCTGCAGATGTTTGTGGCCCACATGACATATTGTTTTTTGGGCCACTATTGCACGACATTACGGCTCCTATTTCACCAATAACATCAGCAGGCAGCGGCATCAGCACATCCTCGCCCAGCTGTACAGGCATGTGATCCGATTTCTGTGCCTGAGCCTGAGCCTGCATTTGTAGCTGCATTTGTCGCATTTGGGCATTCGTGGCGCCTCCTGGCATGCTCATCATGATACTACCCATTGCCGAGTCGTTGGGTAACTTGTTTATCTGGCCAGGCCCACTATCGTTCTCCGGAAACAGAAACTGATTCATTTTCTTTATTTTCGCTAGCTGCTCCTCCCGATGTTGGCGCTGCTGCGGTGTCAAGTTTTCGTCCGGCACTTTGACACCCTGCAATGATATTATATTGTTGTCTGCGCTCAGATCACTGTTGCACTTGCCCAGGACGCTGTCGACGCCTTCCATCAGCTTCATTGCGTGCGACTCGGCAGCCGCCGATCCGCCTTGCGCGCCATCAAGATTATTTCGACTGACGGCAGCATTAGCGTTTGCCGTCTCCCAGCACATTAGGTCGCTGTCATTCACAAGAGAATCGGCAGGGGATGGGTCAGCAAAGGTATTTCGCTTGTTGCTGCTATTATCTGTTTGACTGTTGAAATGCGACTTGGGGCCGCCACCAGCTGCGACGCCTGGGCCTGGTTTTTGCTGCGGCTGAAGCATTTTGGCCAGGTTTGGATTTGAATTTGGATTTGGGTTAAGGTTGTTGTTGGAATTCGCATTTGGGTTAAGCCAGCTTTGTCCACCGCCAGGGCCAGGCATGTTGCAAATACCCAGGCCCAAAGAGTTCTGTCGCTGCAGCTTGTTCATTTTCATTGGATTCTTCATAAAGAAATCTTCAAGGAAACTTTTTGTCGCCGGCTGCGTGCAGTGGTAAGCGATTATCGTCTGAAACTGGCCGCTCAGCACCGACTCTGCTCCATTATTGGCCAACTGTGTGGAGAAGACAAATATGTGGTTCTGCTGTTGCATATAATCCAAACAGTTGCCCAGAGCGTTGCCGACGCTGTTGTTGCCCATGAAATTTGATGCACCAGGCGACACATTGATGCCAATGCCAAGGGATACGCCCATCCCAGGCCCGGACCCGGACCCAGCTGGGCCACCGACTGGCCCACCACCAGTAACATTCGAATTGGACGCGGTGTTATCGCTCATTCGATCAGCTTCCAATGCATTGGCCAATGCATTGCATCCGCCGATATCATTGTCACTGCTTAGTCCCATAATTGATGACGGCTTTTCGGTGATATTAGAGCTCAGTTCCATTTTGACTGTTGGCATGAAATTCATTTATTAAGCATACCACATATCGCAAATAAGCAAATCTAAAAGCTAAGCCTTACCAGGTGTAACGGATCGATCCGGGCCAATATTACCAGAAGGTCCACCAATAGATCCAAATCCAACCGGGGACATGCTTGGCGAAAAGTTGTCTTCCTTCTTCATATTCCCTAAGCTGCCCAACAGATCTGAGCTGCAGGGCTCCTCCTTGACAGCATTCGCAGCCGCTGCAGCAGCACCCACAGCACCGACTTTTGTGTTGCTATTGCCAACTCCTCCTCCTGAGCTGTTTGTACTGACTTTCTCCAGCGCTGAGTTTCCAGACGTGCTCGCTTGCTTCGGCTTGACTGTTAAAGATTGCACACATTGCAAGAATTATAGATTACATTTCGTTCATTTTGTAGGATCCTGTTAAATACTTATAGGAAAGGCGATGCTATAGAAAGTTTTGTTTGAATTATCACAAGGATGATTTGACTTCTAGCATATTAATCAATTGGATCATAGTCACATGTTATTATTATATCATATTGAGAAGAGTAAGAAGTTAGAATTTATATAACTCTAATTAGCTAAGAAACAACCTAGTTTTTACCCATGGAAATGCATGCTCAGACGTGGATTTGCGATGTTCCCCCCGAAAGTGTGAAAAAAATCCCTTAAAACGGTCGCTTGAAACTTTCTTGTTTGCCATCAAATCGGCATCAAACTCATTTTTGAAGATCTTTGCTCAAATTTATTTGAGGGGAGTTTCAAACATTTTGGCAAATCAGTACCTTCTTGGTGGAAATGGGATTCAAACATTTGGTGGATAAAGTTTCGAATTCAAATCCATTTCCAAGGATCTTTATGAAAAAGCATTCGAGGCTTATTTCACACTTTTCGTCGAATCCCAGCTTCCTCGGTAGAAAATGCCATTCAACGATTTTTTGGGCGAAGTTTTATTTTTTCACTTATTTTCAAAACCCTACATAAAAGCTAAAAAAACAAAAACGCATTTGTTGAAATTTTACGTGGAGCTCAAGATAATACGGGCAGATTTAAATTTTCCACAGGCGGGAACTGGATATAAGGTTTACTTTACATTTGAAGTACAAAAGTTGACACGATCAAGGCCGGTAAGCCCGCTAGTTTTTATAAATACATATACATATATTATATATAAGCGGACATTGCCTGGACTAGCCCGTGGAAAGTTTGGTGCCAATTTTCCACAGCTGCGGATGGAATTGCCAAATTTTCCGAGTGTGTCTTTGAATCGCATTTCCATCGAAGAAATTTGGATTCTGCGAAAAGTGTGAAGCACGTCTCAAATGATTTTTCATATAGATCTTTGGAAATGAATTTGAGCGTGAAACGTTACCCACCAAATCTTTGAACAAAAATCTTTGAAAATGAGTTTTAGGCCGAACGGATGGTAAACAAAAAAGTTTCATATCGCGTTTTTCGCGATTTTCCCACACTTGCAGGTGGAATTTCCCGAAACCTCGTCTTAAATCAGTCAGTCAGGACGAACAGTTTTATATACAGAGATAGATTGAAAAGCGCCTCAGGAATATATTTTGTAATCTATCTAACTATGCTTATATTTGGGAATCTAGTTGGCGAGTAAAATAGAGAGTTGTGAAGCTCGTAAATGATATGTTTGGTGAATGTATTTTGTAATTCAGACAATTTTGAGTATTTCAATTTTAATAAGATTTTAGTCATGAGTATGAAAACACACAAAAGTTTTCACGCAAGTCCTTAATTTCGACCGATCATTCCTATGATAGTTATTTGATCCAGCTTTCAACAAAAAGACGGATCTATAGAAAGATTCATGATAATAGCTTTAAAACTGAGTTTGCTCAGAAGGGAACAGGCAGACATTGCTCTATCGAATGGGCTTTTGGTCTAATCAAGTATATACTTTATGGGGTCGGTCCTCAATATTCTCAACAAGGCTATAAATATTATTTAAACGCGCCCAGCCCCAAAGAACTCTTTAAATGAATGCACCACATTATTGGAATTTGTAGCGATTGGGATTGTAGATTGCATATTTGCACAATGATTATTCTAATTGAATTATTGATCTTACCACAATCGTCGTCCTTTGCGCTGCTCTTCTTTTTCTTTAGCAGATCCTCCTGATGCAAGTCACCTTCAGAATTCACCCTCTGCGAGAGGCTGCCAGAAACGTTGCTGTTGCTGCTGTTGCTGTTCGTATTCGAGTGATCTCCGGCATTGTTTGGTGGCGAATTGACGCTATTATTTGATAAATTCTGTCTCTGAACCGGAACGCCGCCGCCGACACCCACATCTGATGTCCCAGATGCATTGACGTTGCTTGTATTGGGATTTGATGTGTTTTTACTGCTGTTGTTGTTGTTATTGTTACTGCTGTTGTTGTTATTGTTACTGCTGTTGTTGTTGTTGTTGTTGTTTGTGCTGCTAGTGTTTTTGGCAGGTGCGTCCACTTCATCTGACATGGTTTGGTTTTGATTGCTTGCGTTCTCTAAAACAAAAAAAAAACAAAAACAAAAAATAACTATGTTATTGTCTCTTAAGGAATTCACGCTGCTTGCTTACCTGGCGATAAAGTGGAAAAGGGTTCGGTTTTCACCTTAACCGTTTTCAAGCCATCAATTTTAGTGGCTCCATCGGGGTTCGTTGGTGATGATTGGCTGGCGCCTCCAGTTGTTGCGGACAGCATTCTAGATTTGCCTACATGGAACACTCGTGTGTGTGTTCGTTCTGCTCTGGTTTAAGATCGCTTGGACCGTCTGTATTTCTATGTGAATTTCGGGTTATTTTTTGTCCATGGTCTCAGTGGAGAATATTATCTCCGGCTTACCCATTCAGTCTCACTTTACTTTATTTATTTCATTTAAAATACACACATACGCTCGTTTGTGTTTGTGTATAAACGCTACCATTCAAACAAAACAACAAAAAAAATTCTGTATACACACAAAACACACACACACACAAATGACACAATTAGCTTGAGAAAATTATACTAGAATGCAACGACGCTCAACATGCCTTTTGAAGTGCTTGCACAATGATTTTATAGCGAGTTATGTACAAATAAATATTGTTCGCGCAAGAATTTAATTTATTTTTAATTTGTAAATACAAATCGCACAGCCACTTGGCATGCTCCTTCTATGAAATACACAATGTGTGTTCGAAAATACTAAAAGTATTATTTTGGTACTGGGGTCGCGGGGTACGATACGACTGCATGACGTGTACGGCAATAAATGAGTACTTTTAAATAGCGGGTACTTAGAAGTAACTGCTTGGCTTATTTTATTAAGAATACTCAAATGAAACAGTATTTGCAACAAATTAGCTAATTTCGACACATAGTTCCGAATTTCTATGAAGACAAATAGATAAATAAAGATTTGGTATTTGGGAAATTACTTACTAACTATCGATAACACTTTTAGATTAATTCCATCAGTTCGATAATACATCAGCCATTTATTTTGGTAATTTCATACTAAAGAAAAATTTACTACATCCAAAAATTAATGTACTATTGAAAAAGACACGCTACACTTAAATAAATACAGCTTAATATACATTTCGGATTCTCACACTTTCATAAAACTTAATATTTAGAATTACCATATTAGTTCCAGTAGTAATTGGAAGACTCGCATTTAATTGAAATATAATATTATTTTGGGGGTTTAATAGGTTTCGGGCTTACAAAAATATTGCAGTTACAAAATTAAAGCACAGAAGATATTCTGAATCCAACTGTAACATCAACTCTATGTTACAGGTCCTTTATCAGCCGGCTGGAATTTAACAGGAGTTTTCGCTGCGAGGTAAAGTTTTGGCAAGATTGTACACAAGGAGATTCATGCAAATTTATCTACGTAGACGAGAAATGTGTGACATTTAATGATGCTGCGCCACAGGTGCCCACCCTGAAGACACTTGCACAGCTTTCCACGGCCAAAATGCCTTTCCGAACGTTTACGTTTTTTCCTCCCCTTTACGAACATTTTCAGTCATCGTTTTGTAAACTCTCATATAGTCATTTTAATATTACAGAAGACGCGCTCGATGACATGTCATGGACAGTGGCAGCGCATAGCTTGTAAGCCCAATTCTTCGCATCGGATGAAACTTCTAATAATAACAGGAGAATAATTTCATGTGCTAGATGTTATTTATTGCACAATTACTTCAGATATGATACTTAAAGAAAGAGTAGGAGAGGCAGCTTAAAAAAGGATTGAAATTAAATAATTAGTTGCGGAATTTGGATTTGTTTTATTTATTGCATTTACCTTATTTATACATATGTATGTAAGTATTTGAATGGGTCTACGTAAATGTACGTACTCCATTTATAATATTTGTAGTGTTCATTGTATGTGCATTGTATGTGTTTGCACCTCGTTTAGACTAAATTGACTAGCATATATGTATCTTAGCGCTGCATCTGTATGAGTATTCGCATTCGTGTTCATATTTTTCTTCAATAACTGTTAAATAATAAGTAGTATGCATATACCATATATATATATATATATATGTATATGCACCCACATAACTAATATAATATTATATATTAAGTCATTCGTGCTACTTGTTTCTAAATGTTTGGATTCTATCTTCAGTGAGAAAATATAAAGACATTAAACATTGGTATTTTTTTCTTTTGGTATTTGGTATTTGCAAAACTAAATAACCGTACATACTTATGTACATACAATATGCACATGTGTGTGTGTATATATATGTATGTTCCTTTCTAATAGTACACGCGTATATACATATACATATTTATATAGTTAAATTTCGATAATGTAAAAAGCATTACAGTATTTACACATAGTGTTATTTGTGTGTTTAAGTTTAAATGACTTCAGTGTATTATTATTATTATTATATATTTGTATTTAGTTGTACCTTGTTTATTTTATAAATTTGACTAGATTTACATAGTTACATTTTTGACATTCTTTTTGTGAGATTTTAAAAGTTTCCATCACTCGGTTTCAAACGCATCTAATAATGTATGTGTGTATGTATGTATGTACATGCGTTTTAAAGTGTATGTGTGTGTGTGTGTGTGTACATGTCCGAGCTTGTCTAAAATGTCTGTAAACTAAAATATTACGCTCGCAAAAGTTAGTATATTGCCACATCAAATGTACAGTACTATTTTCTACTACTTAACGGTATAGGGTAAGAGAAAGATTAACAAAGAAATTGTCTTACAAAATAAGCTGAATTTTCGAATCAGGTACCAAAGAAATTTGCATCATTTACAAGGACTTTTTTTATTGGTTCAAAGAGACAAAAACCATATACCATATACCATATACTGAGCATATTGGCTTTCAATGAAAGTTAACTGAGTGAAACTTCCAAAGACTTTTTTGTCTACCACTTCGTTAGTCCCAAAATATTTATGGAATTGATTAGTTTTTTTATTTGAGAAAAAAAAAACAAAGATTGTTAAGTACTCAACCAGAAGATATCTTCACACTTTGGAAAATTGATTCTTGCATGACTTTTTTGAAGATTGAGCTTTATATAGGGTTTTCAGGTCGAAAAATGGCACTGAACCTTTACAAAATAAATGTGCCCAAATTCTAAGCTATATATCTCTCATTTTGCCAGATTTTTCCCAGAATATTTACCCAGAAGTTATCAATTTCCAAAATTGTGGTTAACATTTTTTGTGCATTTATAAAATTGGCGTTTTCTCCACGGCCTATTACCTATTTAAGATATCACTTTTCCACACATTCTCCACCGTGGCAAATCGAAATATACCCTCATTTCCTTGAACAGCATGTCTCAAATTATATTTCACATATCTATGTTTGAAAATACGTTTTAAGTTTCTGTATTCACTTCCAATATCCTTGAACCATTTGTTCATTCAATAAGATAAAGAGCTTTCGTACCATTTTGGGAAAAAGTAGGAAATAGCACAAATCGTTTCCACCCATTTTCCACCAAGGAGGTCTGGATTTTGCGAAAGGTTCGAAATGAATTTGCACAAAGATCTTTCGAAATGAGTTATGGGTCGATCGGATGTTAAATAAAAAAGTCCTAGCATGAACTTACATCACAAGAATAACTACAAGAGGAGAGAGCTTACGGATTTATTGGAAATGAAATATTGCTGAGTATCTCCTAGTTGTGCACCGTCGACCACTTTTACTTTCACTTTGTTTGACAAAAATAGGTCTGTGGTACCCAAAAACAAAGAAAAACACCCTTTATATTATAAGTGTGTGTAGGTGTAAGGATCGATATTTTCACATAGCTCTTGTGAGGAGAACGAAATGTAAACTAGGTTAATTGAAGTGGTGTAATTGAAGCTTGGTGGACCAACGATCATTTAGTTTTAATTTCGGATCTTTGTAATAATTTGAACCTAAGCGAACCGACACAAGCTTTGCCGAGTTGATGCTGGCCAGCAAGCTGTCGTCCACTTCTACCTGATTATTCAGGTACTCAATACAATCGGCAACCCCCAAGCCATCAATCGATATGTCCGCCTGTTGCACAACCAAACTGGGCGACCATTGGCCCGGCAACGAGTCCGGGTCGGAGTCTGGATGCGATCGTGTCTGATTAGCTTGTGGTTCCTCTTTCTCAGACTCGAGCTCAACTAGTTGAAAGTGGCCTAGTTCGTCGGGATTTACGTTGAAGGCTGTTCTTACGATCCGATTCTTATGATTCGGAAGTCTTTTGGTACGCTTCGATAATACGATCTTCCTATTGGGTCTTGAGTGCGTAAACGTCGGACCTGGATTCATATTATTATCCGTAACCGCATCCGATTCGGAATCGTCATGGGTGTGGCTGTGAGTAAAGGTGCGAGTGCAGGAATTCTGAGTAATATTTTCACTCTGGGACTGTTTGCTGCGCTGTGTTCTTCGCGTCTGTTTGCCATTATGTCACAACATGTCGTCGTGCTCATCGTTATCGTCGTGATCGTCCACCAGGAAATCATGATGCTCCAGGTCCAAGTCCATTTCGCCCTCATCGTCGAAGTTCCCCAATGGCGACATCGCTGTCGTATGCAGACTTCCGTAATGCCCATGCGTTCCACTGTTGCTCTCCCTCTCCTCCTCCGTCTCCTCCGTCTGATGCGCATGTGACCGACCATGCGGATGCTGTGCATTCTTGGTGTCGTCATCGCGCCACTTATCCATGGAGCGTCGACGAGCGTTCATAAAGAAGTTGCCCACCGTGGTCGGCTCCAGCCCCAGCTGGCGTGCAATTGTCACTTGCATCTCCTTTGAAGGCCTCTTTGTTTCCTAAAAACAACGTCTTGACATTACACTCAATTGTCCTTCAATTGTCGCTCCCCAAAGATCACACTAACCTTAAAAATTGCTTGTAGTGTCCGCCGCTGTAGATCCGTAAACACTAGACGCGGCTTTTTTGGCTGCGGCATTTGTTCTATATGCGGCTCCTCCTTGCGACGGCAATTGGACCCGACGCCAACACCAGAACCGGCAGATCCGCTTAACATGGCTGCAAAGGATTCAACAAAATATTAGAACATATAACGATCATTCATTTACAAACTTGCAAAAACAAGACTGATTTTAAAAAATAATAATGATGGTGATCAGGAATATATATACCTTATAGGGTCAAAGAAGCTTCCTTCTGTCTGTTACATTCATGTCAGGAAATAAATACACGCTTTTACCCATTTACCCATTTGGGTACATTAAGCCAGAGCCTATCAAATGATAAGTTACACGGAGCGGTTACTCCTTTCCTGCAACCTTTATAGTTCCATCTTAGTGGGAAAGGTCATACTCTGGCAAATAAAACTTGTGGTGTAGGGCGTAATGTATAAATATATCAAACTAGCGGGTATAACCCGGCCTTGCCCGTGGCACGTATGTTATAAAATCAAAAAAGCTTTGAAAATGATTTTGAAATTGATCGGACGGGAATCAAACAACTTTTATGCAAATCGGAAAACTCTTAAAATTCACCAAAAAAATCTTAAAAATGCATTTTCCACCGAAGGAGTTTAGATTTTGCGAGAAATGTGAAACACGTCTCTAATGATTTTTCTTATAGATCTTTGGAAATAAATTTGAACACTAAACGTCATCCACAAAATCTTCGACCCCCATTTGCACCAAGGAGGGATGGATTTTTAAAAAAGTGTGAAACACCCCTCAAATGATTTTGAATATAGATCTTTGAAAATGAGTTTGGGGCCGATCGGATGGTAAACAAAAAACTTTCATACAACCGTTTTCCGCCAATATACCACTGTTGCGGGTGGAATTTTCCAAATCGTCGAAATACGTATTCATTAAGTTCTTATTGAGAGCTTTGAAAATAATTTTAAAGCAAATCGGACACAACTTAAAACTTCGCCCAAAAAATCTTTAAATCGCATTCCCCCCGAAGAAGTTTGAATTCTGCGAAAAGTGAGAAACACGTCTCAAATGATTTTTCATATAGATCACTGGAAAGGAATTTGAGCTCGAAACGTCACCCACCAAATCTTTGACCTCCATTTCCACCAAGGAGGAACGGATTTTTCGAAAAGTGTGAAACACCCCTCAAATGAATTTGAACAAAGATCTTTGAAAATAAGTTTGGGGCCGATGGGATGGTAAACAAAAAAGTTACATACAAACGTTTTTCGCGATTTTTCCACACTTGCGAGTGGAATTTCCCGAAACCCCGTCTTAACGTGCACCTACATCACATAAGGTAACTACAGTGAAAATTTCAGCTTCCTAGCTCTTACGGTTTAGGCTGTGCGTTGATCACCAATCAGTCAGTCAGTCAGTCAGTCAGTCAGTCAGTCAGTCAGTCAGTCAGTCAGTCAGTCAGTCAGTCAGTCAGTCAGTCAGTCAGTCAGTCAGTCAGTCAGTCTGTCAGACAGTCAGTCAGGACAAACAGTTTTATATATAGAGATTGGAAAACACGATTTACTTAGGCTTAATTATTAATCTGTCTAGCAGCTGTGACGGACATGTCAGAAAACCGAGTGACCCCGGTGCCAGTTAATCAACTTTGTGTCTGACCTCTCTGACTGTAGCTCTACTATTATTGTATCTGGAGCAATATTTATTGCAGAGTGTTTTACTTACAATTTCCCGAAATGGTTGAGCCATGCGATGCGTCCGAAGTTGTGTTGGTCAACACGACGGCGGGGGCCGTCGATGCTGATCCCGATGAAAACACAACATTTCCCATGCTACCCACACCAGAACCGGAACCAGAAACGGAACCAGAACCAACGCCAGTTGCTGGTCGCTGGGGTATCTGTGCGGCTGCCATGCGCAAGGCGGACATGCGCTGGAACTCTGGCTCTTGGAGCCATTTGAACATGCGGCGGAAGGTCTCGCGTCCCGATTTAAGCTTGGACCATGGCTTCGGGTTGCGCAATAGATCCGACAGCGTACCCTGCGATCGGCAAAGGACACGCTGTGCAAAAATCGCCTGCGGTATGCTGTAACGCTTCAACTCGGCGGAGATGCGTTGAGCCAGCTCCTTGGTATTGATCTCCTCCATGTCATTGGGACCGTTTGAACGATTGTTGTTGACCGCAGCTGTCGAGGAGACGTTGCTGGACATTGTTGCCGCCGATGCGACTCCAGTTAATTTCGGGGAATGCGTTGCCAGCTTGGGCTGGGTTTGTTGCTCGCCGACGAATCCGTTCTGTTGTTGACTTATATTGCACACTTCCAAGTTATTGCTACTAGTTATATTGGTTAGGTTATGGTCGCCGTTTGGATTGCATTCATTGCCGTCGTGATGACTGTGCTGTTGTTGTTGCTGGTGTTGTTGCTTTTGACTCTGTCGCTGGACAATTTCATCGATATTAACAGCAATCGAGCCATCGCCGGGCGGCGGTGTCGGCGAAAGCGAGACAACGACGGGCAAGTCAACCGTAAGATTTGCAACGGATCCGTTCATGTGCGGCAGCGTAACAACCGATGCCGGCGAGTGCAATGACATGGAGACCACGGAACCGGCAGATACCGAGTGCGGACTAAGCGTTGGGCTATGCTGCAACCTTAGCTGAGAGCTGCGACCGCCAGTCGAATTGTTCGATGTGGAGGACGTGGCCATTAGAAGTTCATGCTCATGATGATGATGATGATGATGATGATGTGTGCGGTAGGATGATTCATAATCGCTGACAACGACCCCGTCGGAAATGCCACTTGTTGGCGAAAGGCATATTATCTGTTTCTGAAGAGCTACCGGTGCCAGTTGCATAGCCTGACTACCTTGATTATGATCATGTCCGTGTCCGTGTCCATGTCCTTGTCCTTGCTGGCCGGCTTTATGCACATTCAAACCAACATTACCCTGAAGTTGAGGAGAATGTGAGTGCGAATGCGAGTGCAACTCGGAGTGAGGCGAGAGCGTATCACAACCACCACCTGGCACCGAGCCAGACACCGGCGATGGCACCGAGGAGCTGTGAGTGTGCAGATCGCATGAGCCAACCATTCCGGACAGTCCGTGCGATGGAGAGCTGGCAAAATTGTGAGGCGGAGGTGAAATCAGCGAAGGCAATTTATCATAGGAGGAATACGGCGACTGAACTCCGCCCAATCCGCTCAAGCTCAGGTTACCCAAGGAGCCCTGGTGTGCGCCCTCAATGGGCATAGGTAAACTGGTGAATGAGCCATCCGAGGTGCCGCCAGTGCCACAGTTGTTGCTGATCCTGCCAGTCGAATTGTTGCTGCCATTGGCGCTGCCCGACGAACTGGCGCTGCCGGAAATGTGACCCACATAGGCGAACTTATCGGACATCGTGGATATGGGCGGAAGCGGCTGGATAGGTGTCAGCGTTGCATATGACGTTGGGCTGAAGCCCGGCTCTGATATGCGATTATTGACCGATGTCAATGTTTGGTACGTGCTATGCTCCAGTGCATTGTCAACGGCCAAAGCAGGGCTAAGCAACTGCCCCCCCGAATCGCGGTCATCATCATCCTCGTCCTCATCAATGTCCTCGTCAATGTCCTCCTGTGCCTGCACAATAACGGACAGCGCCTCTCGATGATGCCCATGTCCATGACTGCCCATTCCCAGTTGTACTGGACGCTGATGTTGACGCTGCTGCTGCTGCTGCTGCTGCTGCTGGACCTGGACCTGGTGATGGATCAATTCGGATGAGGATGCGGCAAGTCGATGACCATATTGTTGGTGGTGGTGCTGCTGATGGGGCTGGTGCTGATGGGACTGGTGCTGATGGTGCTGGTGATGGTGGTGCTGGTCATCCAAAAGCTGTTGGTGATGTTGGTTTAGAGTGACCTCCTCCATGCCGCCGCCGACGCCGCCGCCGCCATCAGAGGAGAGCTCATCGATGACGCTCACATTGATATTTGACATGTTAATGTCGATATGAGGGCTGGCGCGGCGATTAATCCCATTGACATCGGCGTTTTCCCGTACAATGACCAGCTTGTGCTCCTGTTTGACTGCAATTATCTGGGATGTTGTACTTACGCTCAAGCCATCAAGGCTTATGTCTGAACCCCCGAAATCGACTGGACTATGACGCTCCTGGTGCATCGGAAGCAGGGACATTGGCAGACTCCGGCCACCGTGCAGTTGAAGCTGTTGAGGCACAATTTGATAGGTCGCCTGCAAATTGTTGTGACCCATTTCGTCGATGACCATAACCACAGACGTGGAATCCTCATCATCATGCAACCGGCTGCTGTCCGTGTGTGTTGCGATCAGGGTCTGCATGGCCTGGCTGCTTAGAGCCGCCGGCGAATGCGGATCTGAACGTGGCTTGACGTACTTCATTCCTGTCACTGCATCACCAGACCCCCCACCGCACTCGGACTCGCCCTCCTGTGTCTGCGTCTGCGTCTGGTGTGCTGGTTCAACTCCAATAAATTCACTTGTTTCCACAATCAGCTGCTGGCTGAACGCTTGCGAATCAATTAGTTCATTCATCGATTCCATTCCTCAAACTACCCGCTCAAAGTTTCTCAGGTAACGCAAATATGGAATTTCGGATATCCAAGATCCAGTTTGATTTCAGCTCACCAGCTGGCCGGTACACTGTAACAAAAGAACAAACAAATCGAGTTGGCTAAGTAACACAATCATCATCACATCAACAAGGACTCGAGTTTATAATAGAGTTTAATAATTTATTGTCATAACCCATATACAATTGCTGGCGTATGTTTCCCGCCTTGCCCTACCGCCCTACCCGTCTACCCTTTCTTATATTTAACCTTTCACTCGCATTTTCCAAGACGGGTGAATTTTAAAAAAGTGTGAATCAACTCTCAAATGAACTTAAAATGATGATAAAGTTGTTTACAACCGTTTTTCGCGATTTTCTCTTACTTGCTGGTGAGTGATATTTCACAAAAGCCCAGTTTAGGCAACCTTTATCACAACTTATGGATCTCGAAGAAGTGGATTTCAAGACAATACAAACGGCAACTGGGGGAAACGGTAATAGCTAACATATTTAGCACAAAACTTGCCACAGGCAATGCCGGGTAATACCCGCTAGTATACTGTATATGTATAATAGTCTCGCAGAGCAATGTGTCACGAAATGTGAAGGACACACGTCTCTTACCTTATCAGAGTGGATCAATAGGTTCTTATATGAAACACTTTTTTGTTTTTCAAGATATCTTGATCAAACTCGGCATTTATCAATCTTATTATGCTTCTCATATGTATGCAAAATCCTAACAACATCGGACTACTATATCATATAGCTGCCATAGGAACGATCGGTCGAAAATTAAGATGTTGTATAAAAAAGTTTTTTGTTTTTCAAGATATTTTGACCAAACTCGCAATTTATAAGTTTCACTATGTTGCCTACATTTATGCAAAAACTTATGTACATCGGACCACTATATCATATAGCTGCCATAGGAACGATCGGTCGAAAATTAAGATGTTGTATGAAAAAGTTTTTTGTTATTCAAGATATTTTTACCAAACTGGCAATTTATAAGTTTCACTATGTTGCCTACATTTATGCAAAATCTTATTTACATCGGACCACTATATCATATAGCTGCGATAGGAACGATCGGTCCAAAAGTAGGTTCTTGCATGAAAAACTTCTTTGTTTTTCAAGATATCTTAACTATAATCGCCATTAACTATTTTCCCTGTGCTTCTTAGATACGGGCAAAGCACTATGAGCATTATGAAAAGCTTAGGCCTGCAAGGGTATTAAATCTTTCATGCCAATTTTGGCCTGGTTATTTATCCTAATACATGGATAATATGTAGTATATTATTATATTATACTTTTAAATAAACCAAACCGAAACGAATTACGTCCGACCTGGGCTTATGCATGTGAAAACCAGCTCCATTAACCGAACCTCATGACAGGAAGTCAGTTTGACGACCAACAATTTTTTTTTTTTTTGGGTTTTCAGTCCATCTTTAAAGGCAAGTGTTGCACAACTTTATTATATAGTTTTTCATTGACTTTTAATGGCTGCTTTGGGGATTTCCCGAAAAAAACTTTTGTCACACACACCAATGCCGCAATCCTTTAACAAGTGCGACTAATTTTAGTGAATATATTACGGATACATATTTGTTTCTTATTTGTTGTCAGTTTGCTGACTTCGTTTTGTTTTCGTCCCTGGCTGTTGCCATCGTCGCCAAGCCTTAAGGGTTGATTTCGTTACCAGAAATAACATACGAAAATACATATAATACTTAACTAATTTATGTATATTTGTATGTCATTTTGTATTGTATGTATTTTTTTGTCATTTACTTTTATTTAAATGGTTAAAATCTAGTTTTTTTCTTCTTATAACTACATACATGTTTTTTTTTCGCACTAGCTTCACTTTAACTGCGACCCAGACACACACACCCACACACAAACACGCACACTCATGCAAATCGAGTCTCTTGCCTTGTACATGCATACGCATGCCAAGTTATGTCTGTATGTATGTATGTATGTGTGCATGCATGCATATGTTTGTCGGTTTGAGTGTTTATGTTTTTATATCATGTAGCTGTCTATGTGTATGTGTGTGTGTGTGTGCGCGCGTGTGTGTGTGTGTGTGCTAAAAGGGGGTTCTTGGGGTTGTTTTCACATTTGAAAATAAACTTTTTCCACAAATATTCGCATCCAATTTTACCTTAAGACATTGCTGGGTCTTGACTACATCTTTACTGGGTCGTTGGTTTGTTTGTTTGTTTCTAAGTTAGTTAGTTAGATTGTAAGTACACTTAAGTTGATTATAACCAATTGAAATTTAGTGCCATTTCCACATGGAGTCGGCACAGCCTCAATTTTTCTATGTATAATTTCGGTAAAATTAGTTGGGTTAAATTTTGGCCCGAATTATTAACAAGAACTTTCGCGACACGTTTGATGGAACTATTTACAATAATTATTATATTTGATTGAAACTGGCACAGTACAAATGTATGTATTTATCATGCATGTGTGTGCGTGCGTGCGTGCGTTGTAAAACTTTATTATGTATATGTATATGTATTTGTGACCGAGAGCCCGCGTTGCGCAAGGTTTCGGCCGCACGCAGAATATACCCAATTTGAACTGAACTGAAACTAACAGCCACATATACACACGAGTATCTTAAGCCTACCCCTACCCCTGCCCCAACCCCTGGCCCTGCCCCTACCCCGTATCAGTGCAGCGAAAGCACCAACCCAACCAACCACCCTTGCTGCCACACAGGAGAGTTGCCACACGATATATATTTGTATTTGCAGCGTACTCCTTTGTGTGGGAAATGTACTCGGTCTGCATTGCGAATATCGAGAATGCACATTTGCCATTTCCATTAATGTCCCAAATACACAATTTAATTTGCAAATCAAATAATACAGTTGCAGGTGATACTAACCAGGCAACAACTTCCTGTGGATGTGGCAACGCCAACCTACCCCACAATAATAACGGCGCATGCGCTCTCCATTTTCGAATACTGTTACTTTCTCTCTCTGAGCAACTATTTCCGTTCAACTGAACAGAAAATGATTGTGCTTTAACCAACATCCACTCGAATCACTTGCTTCATTTAAAACTCGAACTAACTTTTCTGTCCTCGCAACTAGTATACTAAACTATCTAAATATATATATATATATATATATATATATATAAATAAAAATATATATTATATTTATATATAGGTGTATCTATATACACATATCGTATGTATATATGTTAATCTGTTAGATTACGATTTGTCACGAATTCGGTCTTAGCCTCATCGCGCATGTGCCATTCAAAATGATATATCTTTTAAAAACCCTTATGGAGGGTATGATAATTTTGTCATCAAATATGTAACGAAAAGCAAGAGTCAAATTTGACCACATCAAGATATACATACATATGCTTGATCTGTCTGTATAAACAAATCCTCTCTCTCAGTCTTAATGATATCGTATTGAAATTAGGCAAGGGTTCATATTTTCCTGTAGGCAAACGGCCGGACCGGATCATTATATCATATATGTATAGAAACGATCGTTGAAGTACTACAAATAAGAATAATACCTTTTCAAAATAGAAGGAATGATTGACAAACTATTAAATACAATTTGTAACCACGATATGTATGTATGAGTGTGTGTGTGTGTGTGTGTGTGAATGTGTGTCTATGTGTGTGCGTGTGTGTATGTATGTATGTATGCATGTAAATTGTCTTATAAAATGCCAATAGCAGACCAATTTGTCTTGTTACACGGCAAATTTAAATAAGAAACGTATTTATTAAAGCTGCCCTCCTCCTCGATTCTCAAAAATGTAGGTAAGGCTTGCTGGCTTCACCTATGAATTAGGCGCAGGCGGCTTCAACGCTGGAAGCTGAGGAGCCGGAGGAGCACCAAGGAGGCGGAGCAGGAGTCGTAGGCATGTAGGTATCTAGGTATGTAGGTATGTAGGAATGTAGGTGTGTAGGTATCTAGGTATGTATGTATGTATGTATATATGTATGTATGTATGTATATATGTATGTATATGTATGTATGTATGTTTGTATGTATGTATGTATGTATGTATGTATGTATGTATGTATATGTACGTATGTATGTATATGTACGTATGTATGTATGTATGTATGTATGTATGTATGTATGTATGTGTATGTACATATATGTATGTATGTATGTATGTATGTATGTATGTATGTATGTATGTATGTATGTATGTATGTATGTATGTATGTATGTATGTATGTATGTATGTATGTATGTATGTGTGTATGTATGTATGTATGTATGTATTTATGTATATGTATGTATGTTTGTATGTTTGTTTGTGTATGTATGTATGTATATATATGTACGTATGTATGTATGTACACCTCCGACCAGCCTTAGACCAGCCACACTTGAGCTATAATAAAGTCGTGGACAGCAGCGAAATGTAGCATGTTCGGGATTTGAAACTGAAAGAATGAGATTTCCAACGGCATTTTATTAACAACTATTATACAGAAAATACAATTGATTTGATCAGTGATTGACTTTGTCTAACAGTTGTCATGGGTGACGATCTGTACTTAATAACCACTTAAAAGTTAGGCGTGCTTAAATACTTATGTGCTTCATAGATAAGGATAGTTAAAATCTTGCGAATTGCCTCGAACAGCATGACTTTAAAATACATATACACAATTTCAGGTGCACTCGTTGGTTGTTGTTGTTGTTTTTTGTTTTACTGAATATACCTATGAAATTGTTTACAGGCATGTTTAAAGGTTGCAACAATAACTTTTAAATATTTAGTTAGTTACTCATTTTGATTACTTTTATTTTTATTTATACAAGTACACCCAAAAAACAAAATGGCCTATACATTTTCGAAAATCGAATTGAAATTTAAAACTTACTTAATTTCAGAAAATGCTTTTCAGACAATTATTTTGATAGGTGCATTACAACTTTATTATTTCAAGACAAAAAAAAAATGTTCATGAATATATTTTGAAGTAAATTGAATTTTAATTCTTTGAAAAAATGTTTTCAGAACTTATTTTCTTAAAAAAAAAATCGGTGAATTTCTGAATTTTAAATCGACAAAGGGCCTTTTTTTTCGGAGTATATTTCTTTTCATATAGATTTAGTGAGTGTATTTCTTTTCATACTCAATTATTATTTCATATAGATTTATGTACGAATTGATTAACGGATACTCGTATTATTTTATATATATGTTTACGAGCCATAAAAGTCGACATATGTAGGAATCTGTGTTACATATATGTTTAACTAGTTATTCATTTACAACTTTGAAACTTTAACAACTTATCTGTCATTTTGATTTAGGTACTCGGGTCACTCTCTCTCCCTCTCTCTACCTTTTACCCAACTAAAAAGGGAGCAGAGCTCTGAAGCTTGTCCGTCCGAAGATATCTAGTTGGTTTTTTTATTTATATTTTGAAAATGAATCGAATCTGATTGCCGATACTACAATTTCGTGAAGGCAATTCAAATATTCAATTAAATACTGTAATGAGCACGCGTCAATTTTTAGGAAAGGTTGCATTCAATATACTAGCCGAAGTCAATATACTAGGGCCAAGTTTTCATAACCTGAACCCATCGAAAATAGTTAAAAGAGGTTTTGTGCAAATGTATGTAACAGCCTGAAGAAAACATCTCCCGACTCCATAAAGTATATATATTCTTGATCAGCATCAATGGCCGGGTCGAGTCGAGCCATGTCTGTCTGTCTGTCCGTCTTGGGGGTTCAATGGACCAATGTAGTAGGGCATGTTGCAAATTTTGTGGTAACCCTGGTTGATTTGGACAACCAGCCAATTCGAGCTGCGAAATAAGATGACCCATTCTTTGTCTGGCAGGGGACTAAACTGGGTAGAATACAGCTACTGTAAGTCAATTTGGTACCACGGGTAGCCAGGAGCCCGCGGAACTCGTTCCGTCCTGACCTGAGTATCCTGGTGATAGTGGTTTATACCTAAATCGCGGCTGCAGCTTTGCTCGACGTGAAGTTGCGTTTCAACCAAATTGTACAATCGAGGTTTCAGGTCGGCTTCACCTCCCACCAATGAAGGAATGTATTGTTCCGCCCAATATGCATTCAATTGGTACCGAAGGTTCTAACCCTGGGCAAGCAGGATTCCGGAGGTGCGCTAGTCCGACGCACTGTTACACCCCCACGGGGGAAACTTACTGTCCGTCCGTCGTGGTCAAAACCTATAGGAGCTAGGGCCTTGAAGTGAACTTAGTTGCTCCTAGTACAATTCTATTTGTCCGATTATCAATAACTATTCCCGTTTCCAAGCAATCGATACTTGAAAATCGATATTTAAATCCCGTTTTGGAGGAAATCTCTTTTAGGTCTTAAGAGCCAAGAGTCACCAATCTGGGCATGTAGCTTCTTCTTATGTCAAGTACCCCCCTTCGCCACACTGTGTGCCTTACCTATAAATCAGAATTAATAATAAATAATAAATCAAGTAAAATTAATCTTTATAGTTTAAAATTAACCCTTTAATCATTTTCACGGTTGAGTTCCTATATTGATTCTATATTCTATATTTTAGCCATTGAATATGGCTAAAAAGGGTATATTGGTTTTGTACGAATGTATGTAACAGGCAGAAATAAGATTTCCCCCCCCCCCCCCCCCCCCCCTCTAGCCATGTCCGTCTGTCTGGGTGACCCTCCGTCCGGCCTATAGACTTAAAAATTAATTCCGTTTTTGATCATATGATCTCAGTTTTTAACAAAATGTCACCAAACTTAATCATCATTTGGCATCCCGCAAAAAGAAATAAAATTAAAAAAGTATAAGATCTATAGGATCGGTTCAGGGCATACAAAAATGTACATTAAAATCGGAAAGCTTAAAATGGGAAATATATGTGGATCTTATGGAACACACTCCCGATAAAAAACTGAAAAGTCTAGAAAGTCTTGATAGCGCTAATTGGGAAAAATAATCAATTGCTCATTACGTTTGAGTAATCAAAAGAAGCTACATAGCTTATTTCTCTGGTAGATTTTTCGTAAATGTTTTTGCTATTCGACAGACCTTGAGTCTCTAGACGGAAGATGTCGCGTTCCTGCCGCTGTCGATGGTTAGGCTCGAGGCGCGCATACTCAGCGAAGCCAGCGACAAATTGCTGCGGTAGACGGCATTGGGCGAAGCATTAGCTGTAAGCAGTAAGGCCGTGTTCTCTATGCTGGGCACGGATTTATTTTGTAGCCCGTTGCAAAACACCGCCGACTCGTTGGCAGAGGCTCGCGTTGGCAGCGGCAGCGGCAGCGGCAACAGCGAGTCCGAGTCCGAGTTGAGCGTCATAAATCCATCGAGATTGAGTCCATTTGCGTTTAGCGTCGCGATCCTGCCACCATCTCCATCGAAGTTCTCAGTTTCGGCTGTCATCTCGTTCCCATAGAGCTGCAGCCGGGAGCTCAGCAATTTATTACACGCCGGACACGAACGTGCCGATATACTCTTATCCCGTCGGCGAAAAATTTCATGAGCACATCTAAAAACATCAAAAAAAAAAAAAAAAACAACAACAACAACTTAAAATAATTAAATCACATTCAAGCTGATATTCAAAAGATCTGTTTTGAAAAATGAAGGCCCGGTTCGAATATTTAAGGGCTAAGATTGTTCGACGCAAAATTTCAATTTTTCTTTCTCACTTGTCATAAAATGTATAATGCATAGAAGAAAAAATATTCTATTCCCCTTAAAGTATTCTGATTAATATCAGAAGCCGAGTCGATATGTACCCATGTCTGTTTTTCTATTTCTATGCTTACTAGTCTCTCACTACTCTTAAGCTATCGTCTTGTTACTTTGCATAGGTCCGTCATTCTATTGCAGGCAGAACCCACCGAAGCGGACCAATAATATATTTTATAGCTGCCATGAAATGAATGGGAATGATTGGTCGAACACAAAAGTTCTTGTATGCATAGTACAAACGAGCCCTATGCCAAAGGTGGGCAAAGGGCAGACCTTAGACCTTAGTTGAGATAGGAGAGGCTTCTACACGTAGTTTCTGGCTGTGTATCTTGCCTGTTCTCAAATCAATTAGCTTCCAGGTCAGCTGTCTTTCCTCTGAGCTGAACAGTCGAACATATGTTGAATATGACGAAAGATGAGGCCTGGGGAATACTCTCGAAGCCGAAGTTCGGGTCGTCAACCGATTACAGTTCGGATTGGACGCATCTAGTCAACGAATAGGCTCTAAACTGACTCAGGTATTATCGTAAATAAGTTTCTATATATATTTGCCTGAAGGTTCTCACAGATTGAGAATATTTCACTTCTTTCTCTTTTTTTGCCTGATGGGGTCGGTTCCAGGGCATCTCCTGATCCCGGCTAGTAAAAGTAGTTACCTGGCGTGCAGTATGTGCGCACACGGTAGGGCTTCCAGGCTGGCGGGCTGAATGCCAAAAACTTCTCCACAGGCGCCGCAAATCAGGCCAAGGGCCGCGTCAGTCTGATCAGCCAATCGGAGGTGAGTGTTGCACTGGTCCTCGTCGCCCAGGGCCCGATATATGAGAGCTAATCGACTACGAATTTTTCGCACCAACAGCTAAAATATATACATAAAGAAAGATTTAGAAAGTCTTCGTATTGTTATATCTGGTCAATTGGAATAAGTGTCGCACCTTCGCCCCAATCGAGCTGGCAACCTCCAATAGCCGCGTATTGAACTCCAAAGGCCTGCAATTGCAGATCTTATTTTGCAGCCGCAGCGTTTCCAGACATCGGGCTGCACCATCCATCGCCTCCATCTGGGCCATGCGATCGCCCAAAGTTGCCGAAGTTCCCATCGCCTGCTCATACTGCCGAAATGCTCTCTAGGTTTGAAACGACAACAACAACAAAAATACCCATTAAACTTATTTTAAATGTAATATATATACTAAAACCTTTGCAGAACATTTTATAGGTTTGAAGAGAAATTGATACAGACACAAATTCAAGTCTAGGAATATTTCATTCATAAAATAAATTAAGAACCTATTGTCAAATTCAGCAAGTCGATTGGTTGGAACCAACCGTAACTATTTTATGATACCCTGTACTCGCTCTTTCATATCTGCGTGCCTCTTGATAAGCTAGCGAGGTCTGACAGACCCTCCTGCAAGATATTTTCGGTCTACAAGGGTATAAATATCCTTCAAGGGAGCTTGAACCGAAAAATCAACTCCATACTTCATACTTACGTCAATATCCATCTTCTTGCGGTAAATGTCGCCCATAACACGGATACTTCGTGTGTACGTGGCCTGATCTCCGGAAATCAACGAAAGCCTAGTTGCTTCCTAGACGGGATCAAAACAAATATTATTATATGGGAGAGTAATGGAGTACTTAATTGGACGCACCAGGCAATAGTCGTGGGCATCTCCGAGCTCGCCCTGCTTGCGCAATGAAGCTGCCATTCGGAGCAGGGCGGCCCGGTGATGGCAGGAGTTGAGGTCGCCCAGTTGTAGGGATCGGGAGAGATCGTATGCCTTGGATGCATATGTGGCGCTCTTGTCGTTGTCCTGCAGCCGACTAAACAGCTCGGAGAGCGCCACGTAAACTTGCAGTTCCAGCGAGGGATCGCCAATGGCAGTGGCTATTTTGTGGGCTCCCTGCAGCCCTTCCAGGGCTCGAGAGAAGCCGCCCATTTCCAGATAGACGCGTGCCACTGTCAAATGCACCAGGCCACTGCGGCATTTCGTGCCGGACTCATTGTAAAGCGAGTGACGAGCATATGCCAAAGCCCGCTCCAGACCACCGAGGCTGGCGTGAGCCCGGCTCAGGTTCAAGTACGTCTCGGCGCGCATATTGGGCGAATCCAGCTCCTCGGAAATGCCCAACTGCTGGTGGCCAAAGTCAATGGCATCGCGATACTTGCCCCAGTCCATGTGCGCCTGGTAGAGGTAGCCCAGCAGCTGAAAGCAGTCCTCCCGCCGACAGGTGCCCTTCAATGCACTCCGCCAGGTGCGAACCGCCGCCGTCTGATTGTGCTGCTCGTACAATCTCAATCCGCGTTCGATCTGCAAACGAATTAAGATAATTAGCTCTGATCGAAGGGATAGAAGGCCCGACTAAACGATTGCCTGGCTACAGCCTACAGGTGCTTCAAATTATCGTAATATCGATTTGAATAAATAGCTCCCATTTTTTTATTACATGATCTTTTTACTTTTTTTTCCCCCTTAAGTGTGTTCGCATTAATTAAGAAATCTGTATCTCCCAAATTCTTTGATATATACAAAAACAAGTAAGAGGTTCAAGTCGAGAGCTCCCGACTAGCGGATACCCTGAACCCTCTTCTTCCAAAAGGCGATAGGTATAAAATGAAAGATACTTGATATATATATACTATTCTAGAAGCTACATGTCAAGTTTGGTAACTCTAGCTCAGATTATTTGCCGAAATTGCTCAAAAAACAGGATTTATTTTCCGATTACTTGGAAACGGGGCAAGTTATCGAATATCGGAAACAAACTGCGCGGGGACTAGGAGCACCTACAGCTAAAATTGCAAGTCTCTAGCTCTTATAGGTTCTGAGATCCTTGCGTTCATACATACGGACGGACGGACAGACGGACGGACAGACGGACAGACAGACAGACGGACATGGCTAGATCGACTTGGCTATTGATGCTGATCAAGAATATATATTCTTTATGGGGTCGGAGATGCTTCCTTCTGCCTGTTACATACACTTGCACAAATACAATATACCCTGTTTACCCATTTTCAATAGGTTCAGGGTATAAAAGAAATAACTTAAGAAAATGAGGAAAGAATTATCAAAGGAAAACTAAGTCCCTGAATTTCCCCTTCCAGATATATTAAGTTATTTCTCCTGCTCATCAAATTGATGGGGTCTTAGACGATATAATGTAAAAGGAGACTAAGACAAAACTCGTAATTTCCAAATGTTTGTCAAAAGTAGCATAAAATTGCAGTGAAAGTGTGCAAGTTATTCAATATAATATAGATAATGCATATACTACGTATATTTATGTACCTTTCGTTTCGCTATGTACTGACGTAGACTTCTTTGACATGACCAAAAGCAACTGATTATGGTGTTGACCTGGCCGGAACGAGCGAGTCCCGGGCGAACCCACAATGAACGGGGTCCAACATCAGCATCGGGGCTTGAGCCGTGTCCGGCGATTCGCGAGTAATTCTCCTCAAACTGGCACAGATCTGTACATATAGATAAACCCAATTCAATAATTCTTTGGCGTACATTAGATCTAGCTGATGATTGAACAGACCATTGCAATTATCCAGCAAGTAACGCGATCCATCGGGAGACGCGAGTAAATGTGTTGCTGATAAATTATGACTTTGCGGGATGCTACAAATAATTGATCCCATAAATAATTGAATTCCCAAAATTTATCCAGCAACTAACCTAAGCAGATCCTTTGACGCGATGCTCTCCCATGACATGGCTCTTCCTTATTACGTTTTTTTTTTCACAATAAAAAGATTTATTTCTATTAATAATTAATTAAGTACATATATTTTTATGTCATCTCTATACCGTATATAAAACTGTCTGATCAGAGAAATTCTTGAGAAATTCCACCCGCATGTGTGGAAAAATCGCGAAAAACGATTTGTAAAAAACTTTCTTGTTTACCATCCGTTCTGCCACAAACTAATTTTTACAAATATTTTTGTTCAAATTTTATTTCACACCTTTCGGAAAATCCATTCCACTTTAGTGTAAATGGGTGGAAAAAAAAGTTTTAATCGGTTGAATGAAACTCTTTTGTTTACCATTCGATCTGCTTTTCAAAGTTCTACATATAGATGATGTTTTACTTAGAGTAATTTCGAGTTTTCCAATTGGGCTTTACGAGTTGTTTACAACTTTCCAATTGAGATATTCCGAGTTATTTCGCTTTTTTCAAATTGGGATTTTACGTAAGGACGAAGATTTATATGCTCCGTGAGAAAACATTGCCTGGTCGTTTGTATAGTGCGAAATTGAATACACGTGACCTTGAACTATTTGAACAGAGCTTCACTTCTGAATGCACTTTTACTTGCGACTCTCAAGGCAATCCGAAAACTACGAGAGTCCATGTTTTCACCCCGCCCTTCTAAGCGCAGATAAAATTATCTTACCCTCTCACTCAATATTGACGAGAACTGTGATAAAGTTTAAGAATCGTAGACAAACAGTTGCGGAATTTGTTAATTATTTGTTAACTTAAAATTGTTGCTTCATTTTTAACAATTTAAAACACACGAACAGGGGTTGCTCTTACTATTTGTCTGGATGCTGTGTCCAAATTAGAGTTGACGTGTGCCCTCCTTTCTTTTAGGGCTGCCAACATTCGTGAAAGCAAAGGACTCGGAACTGGAACTAGTTCTGTTCCTTCTGTTTTGTCTGCTAAAAGAAATGTTCAAATTGAAATAACAGATGAATACAGGTGGAAAGAACCTTCTTGATTACAGAGTCAATGGCCATAAAACTGTACTTTAAAGGGCATTTATATGTTACTCATATATGCATATATATTGTAAAGTATGAATTTCGGTGTTTTATTCTCTTACACAACCGCACGGTTTCACTATCTTTCAAAAGGCGATCGCTTGCTTATAGAAACAATCGATACAGGCCGGAGGAATGTATCGATATTACACTTAACAGAGTTACAAACCAAATGGATGTATCGATAGTACATTTAACAGAGTTACAAACCAAATGAATATATCGATATTACATTTAACAGAGTTACATATGCATACTCATCGATAACTTAGTTTAACAGTGGATTTGTTCAGATTTCAATTCAAATTATTCAAAAGTCTTACAATATAAATATTTGCACGGGTATAAACATTTGTTAATGTTAGTTTAAAATGATATGATTGATGAAGAATCCACCCATACTATCTATATTTGATATTTGAGTTGGGAAGCTTTCTCATGTAATGAAGTTCTGTCTTAACGGTTTTTTGGGAAAGTGTGAAAAAAACTGCGGAAAACTTTTGTATGAAACTATTTGGTTTGCCATTCGATCAGCCTCAAACAATTTCAAGGATCTTTGATTAAATTAATTTCAGAAGGGTCTCACACATTTCTTCAAATCAATCTCTCCTTGGTGGAAGTTGGCGCCAAAGAACTTGTGGGTGTTGTTTCGGGATCAAATTAATTTCCAAGAATCTTTATGAACATTCATTTGAAACATTGCTCACATTTTCTCGGCGAAAAATACGAACCACAGCTACACATAAAATCTTCACTCTACATAAAAACTTCCCTCAGACCTGTTTCAGTGATTTTGGAAATTCGAACCACAACCGTTTATTTTTTTTAATTGAAGCAAAATACTTGCCACCAACAAGGACGGGGATCCAAGAATATCAAAAATGTGCATACTTTATGGGATATCGGATATACAACTTACCATTTTTATCCATTGGGTTAAGGCACTAACCAACAAACAACACATATGTACATAGACATAGTCCAAACTCGACTTCGTTTTTGCTCGGATACGCGACAAGCTCACTTGCTGAGAGAGCCAGAGAGTAAGAAATACATATGATTTGTGTGGTAGAACGGCAACGCTGTCTTTTATCTTGCTCCCACATACAGGCAACTGGCTTGGCTTACTCTCAGTGCTCTCTTTATGCTCTCTCTCATTATGTCTATGGATCGTTGATCGTAGCCACAAACAATGTGACGATATAAAGAATTGAATGAATGACACGCAAGCTGTTAATTTAAATTTGTTTGTTTTTATTTTCATTGATACATTGTTCACTTCTGCACTCTGTTGCTTTCTTGCCTTCGTTCGTATTCGCTTTATACATATACATATGTAGTTCGTTTGTGTTGAATGAAGAGTTGCTTATCTTACCCCTTAAATGGTATAAGTAGATATAAATTTGCTGTGCTACAGTTAAAAACTACAATTTAGTCCTTTTCACTACCCCAACTTTGCTATCGGCCTACAATTATACCAGCTCACGTATAAGTGCATACATACAGCTGTCCCTCCAATTATAATTGGATTACACATCTATCGTTGATCGCTTGCGGCATGTGTGTGTGTGTAGTGTGTGTGAGTGTGTGTGTGTATGGTCGTGTTTATAGTATACTTATAAGGGCCAACTGTAATGTGGTTTAAAGTGAGAGCAACAGTTGCGATCTTTTTATTCGGTCTGTAATGTATTCTTCTGTATTCAAATTCGTGTACGACATATAAAAATATAAATTGAGGCGTGGAGCGGAAGTATCATTAAAAAAGCCAAATCACTTCAAAATTGTATCTATTTCCGGTCGACGAGCTTTCAAAATGGCCAAATATGTGTAGAAAAATTAGTTGCATTATCAATACTTTGCACTGTTAAGAATAGTGAATTTTTGCAAGAAACAGACATGTGAACAATGTGTACAAATATGTTGTATAATGGTTAACCGTAATGCAGTCAAAATCAAGCCGGATGGGGTAATTTGAATATAACCTATAAGGTTGAGCCCTGAAGAAGAAGAGGAGAGAAAACAGTCGAAATATCGAGGCCAAAACCGGACTGAAAATATGAAGTACACATTTGGTTGGTAAAACTAAATGGGCTGACATAATGAATAGTTAGTTGCTAAAAAAAACTATTTGTAAGGTTCTCAGTATGTATGTATGTATATGATTGTTTGTATGTATGTAATGTATTGAATTGTATGGGATGTATTGGGTGCATTGTATTGTATTGTATTGTAAGCGTAATCCTAATCATCTCAATCGGTATGTGGTAAGATCATATTGTATCTACATGTGTGTGTGTGTGTGTATGTGTGTGTGTGTGTGTGTATTGTTGCCTATATATGGAGTTAGCTTTGCAAAGCATTTGATTGAAATCATTTCAAAACTGGATTCGGTTCTCGGTTTCTGGTTTCTGGGTGCTGCCCCATTTCGCTACGATTTGGGCGAGGTCGTCGGATGATATAAATTCGGTTTAGTCGTAAGTTGTTTGTTTTTACTTAAATAAGCGTTTGCTATTGCGGGCCAGTACAGGGGATCGAGTACCATGAGATACAAGTGGAAAAAGAGTGCTACGCTCCACTAACTTAGAGCTTAGACTGTGTTTTACAATTAAGTACTGCGTCTTTGTGTGTGTGTGTGTGTGTGTTTGAGTGTGTGTGTGTGTGGGTATGCTTGTTTCTATATGTTTGTTTACTTGATTGTGTGTTGGTTAAGTAAGTTGCGCAAAACAAAAACAATATTAATTGAGAATAGTTTTAAAGTCAGTTTATACATAATGCACAGTGATGATTATCAGAACTAGACTTTAATTATATAGTACCGAAACGATCTACCTCATTATTATCGAGTGTGTGCAAGTTTTTTTTGTGTCTTGAATGTCTTCTGTATATGAATACTTGCTTATGTGGTATGTAAATATTTGTTTGTTTATCATTTTCTTTTCATTTCTATTCAGTTTTCAGTTTTCTTTTGTGTATGAATGGAGCAAATACTGCAACAATACATGACAAATTACAAAATCGTTTTCGTTTATTAAATATACAATTATTATAACGTTTCACCTAAACTTTGCTGTGTCGTTTTGCTCACATATATATTTCAATGTATATACGAATGTATCTTCTAGTATAATTATGTAACTTATTTATATATATACCACATATATATGTATATATATGCATATACTGCTTGGTTCATTTACAAAATTATAAAATTAAAAACTAACAAAACAAAAACAAAAAGCATAAGAACGTAAAACTTACAGTTGAGTTCTTTGAATTTCACCTTTCCCATATTCGAAATACTTAATACGAATACAATTGTAATTGTAAGTGTAAATGTAAATGTAAATGTTAATGTTAATGTTAATGTAAATGTAAATGTAAATGCAAATGTAAATGTAAATGCATACGAAACATTCATACATATACATAGGTTTGATTTAACATTTACTTGCGTGTACGTTTACATTATCGTCTCTGGCATTCGCTTAGTCACCTAGTTTCTAATTTCCTACACGTGTTTTATATAAACGCTAATACATCATTTTTTATTTTATTTGTTTTTTTTTTTTGTGGTTTTTGTTTTTGTTAATTTTCAGTCAAAACTTTCAGCGTACAAGGCAGCTGCTGCACGAGAAGTATGTGTATATTAATGTGAGTTTGCTTTTGAGTTAGAAGTGTCAAATTTTTGTGTGATAGCGACATTCGAGGATCTGATGTCAATTACACATAAAGATTAGATGCTAATTAATGGAGAAGTGCGTGGATAAACGTGTGTTTATGATCTGAATGACTTTCAATTCAAAAACTCCTTTAGGTCCACGTTTCAAAAAAATAACTTTTAACTGAAGACGAAGAGAGAGAAGGAGCAAAATAAATTATAATATTTACAGCAATTTGTTGTTCTATCCAAAAAAAATCAATATTCCTCAACTAAATTGCAAAACATTTGTTTTCTTTTTCGAAATAGGCAAAAATAGTTTGTGAGGTGGTCGTCTTGTATGGCTTCCTTCTGAATTTAGTTTCATATTTTTGACTCATTCAAATAAGGTAGAACAATTTCAAGGCGCTAAGTTATATATTGATTCGGTTCGGTTCGGTTCGGTTCGGTTTTGGGTTACTTTGGGAATACGAACTGCAACGAGACCAGAGCCCTATGGCTCCAAGGCCAATGGCAATTAAAACTTATACTCTCTTTAAACTGTTATCGTCTTAAATCGGCGTATTGCCAGCTTTTTTTTTGTTGACTTATGCGTTAAGTTAATCTATATCGCTATAAACTATGTTTTAATGCGCTTGAAAATTTCATTTGTTTACTTATTTATTCTATTTCACCTTTCTCCTTCTTTTCATCTACTAATTCTTCTTCCTCGCTTGCTTCAATTTGGCTCCATGTTCGAATCGATCCTATTGAAAATACATTGAATATGTAAATATGTTTACATAATACTACCAAAGGACATTGTGTGTGTGTGTGTTGTCTGTGATCTTATGTCTTCTTCTTAAATTAACTGGCAGCTACAGCCAGACAGAGAGAGAGAGAGAGAGCCATTCACCGGTAATTAATAGCAAGCGGTTCTTGGCGGCGACGCATCGTATGTGCGGCAGGTGCCCAAAACAGGTATTGAAATGTGATGACAATGATGGCCAGCAAGAGCGTTGAATTGATGCCATAGACATGCATAGAGGTTAGACCCCTGGTGGCTGCTCCGCCTGCCAGCCAGGTCCAGATCCAGATATGGCTCCGAGTTGCTTGTCCCGATCCGCTGTTGTAGGTGAGCTCTTCGTTTTTGACAACCTCATTTGGATGTTTGTCATAATTGTGATGATCATCTGTAATTACGAGTAAAAACGAGTAAGTTAGCCAATTTTAATATCGACAATAATGCCAAGTTAAATCCTTATATCATGTGCTCTTTTAACGGAATGTGAACAGAACTGGAGAACTGTAACCCAAAATGGTTCAGTTTATCAATTATCAAACCTAATATTTTGGGATTTATTAACTTTATCATGGATCAACATTGAAGTGAAGAGTATAATGTGGTTATGGTTGGGTTAGGAAAATAGTAAAGCTGTCATCCGTAAATTTCTGAAAATGTTTACACTTTCATACTCTATTCACAAAGTAAAGAGAAGCGTATTGATGCTGTGAATTGTTCGTCTGCCTTTTCGCTATATTCTTATCATTTCTTTTGTGCTAATGCTAATAAAAATTCATTTTCTATTCATTGACAATAGTAATGATAATGAAATAGTTAAACATAAACTCAAAATGATATGTAATGAAAACTTAATTTCTTTAACACTGATAATTGATCTCATATATTAAATATAAACAACAAAAAACAGGTGGTCACACGCAAAAAGAGACTAAATTTGTAAGATAGACATTTCAAAAATTAGTTCTTATAGAAGCAAACAATATATTTTTTTTAGAAAATATAAATGAAGCTGTATTTGATTTGCTATCTTTGTTCATTTATGCAATTCCTGCTGGAAAATGATTTAAAATCAATTAACAAAGCTAATCAAATTAGGTTTTCATTGAAAATGTTAATGCTGAAAATAATTGTTCATTACTTTCAATTTTGGAATTATAATAATAAATTGATTTATTATCTTTTTTTTTGTTGTAATTGATAATGAAATACTTTTTAATTTCCATTATCATTAGTTTTATAACTGTCATTATTATTGCTAGTTTTAAGTGATGAGATGCAAGAGATGAATCTATTAGATACTCATGTGCACCGTGTCACCGCCCACTATGAACAGGAAAACTACGACAATCCACGTGAACTATATTCTTAAAAATGTTTGATCATTATCAAAAGCCCAATCGATAAGGCCATTACGCCTACCTACCTGTCCGTTTCTATGCAAACTAGTCTCTCGGTCTGGATGGACTGTCATAAAACATTGCCTAGGTCCGTCCTTCTATAGAGACAGTACATATAGTTGTCATCGGATCGAAAATCTTTGTTTTTTTTTTAAATATTATAGCCAAACCCTACCATGATCCTCAAGTAACCCATCGTATCAACATCGGACTCCTATACCCATATAAATGTACAGAAAGAATCGCTCGAAATGATTTTTTTTACATGGACTAATTTCGTTGTTCATTATATACACCAAACTCAGCAATTACAAGCTACACAAATCACCTCAGATTTTCCTATTCTTTCAGATTTGCCATTCTTTCTGAGTAGAACCTTACAGAGCCCTAAATTTGTCAAGCCGATAATCAAGAAGACCTTTTTGAGCTTTGCTGTAATCCCACACTATAGTTGAGTAGTATTTTATTGCTATTGTGAAAATGAGCATCCAACTTTTAAATCGAACTGCACCTCAGCTTATGAAATTATTATCAAGGTGGGTGTGGGACGGAAGGTATGGGTATTATGGACGCAGGTACAGTATTTGGATAATGGCAAAGGCAAAGGCAAAGGCAAATGCAAATGCATTTCTATAAGTTCTACTTACTTTTCCTGTTATTATTAGTACCAAGGTCTGGCGGACTGTGGGATGATTGTGTGTAATTGCTAATACTTGTATTGTTATGACTGTCTGAGTTGGTGTTAATTTTGACATTGGTGTGTTTCGGATGGAACAATTGCTTGCTATTATTATTAGTAGTAGTAGATATGTTGGATGTAGTTGTTAATAATCTGCTGGATGTTGTGTTATTTGTGTCCATGCCCCAAGTAGTATTTGTATTTGTTAATGGCCAATTAATGGTGCTCTGTACAATGTTACTGTGGTTTGTGTCAACCACAACTGGCGGCAGGTAGTGAATATCTCTGCCAATATTGATGGGATTGTCAACTTCTTGCAAGTCGTACTGATCAGCAGCATCTGCAATCGGTATTTTTAATGTATCCTTACCATTATTACTATTCACATTCATATTGCCCTTGTGGTGCGGATGCTGATTATTTGGTTGCGTTGGCACATTATTAATCCGAATGCCAGTCTGAATGTGATGATGGCCGGGATAGGTCATATGAACGCCGCCCCCCCGACCCGGTGGCAGCATATTTATGCTGCCATGGCCAGGTGACAGCATTATGCCGCCAGTACCAGAGCCCCCTGCTCCAGCTGCTCCAATATTGTTGCCCATTACGTTGTTTGGTTGAATGGGTATGCGATTGAATTGATCAATGTTCGTGTTGATCGAGGTGCCCATCATTCCGTTTATAGGCTTTAGTTGAACGCCGCCGCCGCCGCCAGCTGATGATCCACCTGCTGATCCACCCGGTATGAAGCCAGTGTTAGTTCCAATGGTATTGACACCATTATGACCATGTCCATGATTAGCATTCGTATTCAGATTCTGATCCACGTTCACCCCCGCACTGTCGACGCCATTGCCATTGCCAGTGCCACTCTCGGCTGGCACACTGCCCAGGAGCGTAGTTTCCGTTGTCTTGTTCTTATCTTCGGCTGCACAACACACTTTGAACACAACTTTCATATTATTTGTGGAACAGCGACCGCCTATGCGACGGTACAAATCGTCCTTCGATGACGTCGCTGTATGTCGAAATAAAAATGAAAACCAAAACATATAATATATATAGTAGAAGATTAATATAATCGAATAACTCACAAATGAAATAGTAGTCATTTCCAGGTAGGAACTCTAAACCACCTGGCTGCGGTGTAAATGGCCGGAAAGTTATCGTAAAAAACATTAATTTCTGAGGCTTATCACATATAGCTATTACTCGCGGATCTGCGTTCGTTATGCGACATGTTTCGTACTCTACTTTAGACACATTGTATATAATGTACTTCTCCGTTTCGTTCTCGAATGCGCCGGGCTCATAAACTGGACATATTATGTGCACCTGGTCGAATTCGAATGCCAGATTGCCCTTATTCACGTCAATAATATGATCGGTGTTATCAATCCGAAATCTGCAAATAAAAATTGATTAGAAATTATTATTTATTCATCTTTTACTAGTGGTAATTGCCCAGCTTACATTACTTTTCAATCAAGAAAGGGGCAGAAGTTTTCCAAACATATTATATATTCGTAGGGACTTTAAAATTCCCTAAATCACATATTCATTTAACAATTTAGAGAATAAAATATAGCTTTTGGACATACAGCGGGTGAAAGCCATCGAAAAGGATATTTGACAAAGATCTTGAAAGATTAGTTTGAGTAGCAAACAAAACTACATTCCTAAACGGGCCTTTTTCAATAAACTGTTATTAACAGTTTAATGTTAAATGATTAATGTTAACGCTTTTACTGAAGCCATGAAGAAACGGCTATCTTCAGCAATCTTAAGATTGTAACTCTGAGATCGACCTGTTTATGAGGTCAAAGATCATTTTTCTACACATTTAACATACATTTTCAAAAATCCATTATGCCCGTCTAAGTCTACAGGGTATAGGAATAAAGCTGTGTAATTAAGGTCAGTAATATTTCGGTTATCTAGGGTATTTCAAAATTTGCTATGCCGTTAACAAGTTATATTTTTTTTTGTATGAGTTGCCTTCGGTAAATATAAAAGACGAACAACATTCAGAATTGCCCCGCATTTGATAGGGTATTACATTGAATGCATAACCCAAAACTATTGTAACGATCCGAAGTACGGGCGAAGCTGGCACGCACAACAGGGCAAGGTATATCCAAGTCGAACAATCTTGTTTGTCAAAGTGAAACCTTCCACAGGAACACAAATAACAGCACTAAGAACGCCAACAAGTTATCCCCCCCCCTCCCCCTCCCCCTACCACCCACCCATTACGCATGTGCTCACATGCAAGCGAAGAGAGGGACAAAGAGAGAGAGAGAGAGAGTAAAAAATGCGTTATTTATTTGTGAAATGTGCGACTAAAAGCTGGTGGTGCGTTGACAGAATGTAGAATGCAGAGCGTGCGGCTAGGGGAACGGGGAGGGGGGGGTGGGTGGGGGCTGGGGCGTTCCAGGGGGAAAGACTGATTCTTGAAACCTATGCTCGGCTGCAGTTGAAACCACAGGAGGGTACCCTCTGTACCCCCCTCCCCCTTGCAACCTGCCCAAGTACTGTTTAACACGACGCACGCACTTATGTATGTCTCGCGTCGCGTCGCGTCGCCCCCTCGACGTTTCCTTGGTTTCTTTCTGCCCTTCCAAGCCAAGTTGTTCTTTGTTTTTTCCTTTTTCCTTTCCATTTTATTATAGAGCTTTGTAAATCAAAAATCACCCCCTAATGATGAAGTACGCATATTTTACATGTTCGCTTTGGCGACACACACTCAATCCCATAAATGCGAGTGTGCGACTAGGGTTACAGGGACACAGTCGAGCTAGACATATATACGAGGGCTGCTTAATAAGTTTCAACAAAATTACAATCTACTATCCAGTAGAAATTGAAATTAAACATCCGTCAATAATAATATTTAATATCGCCCTTCCCGATTCGGGATCAATCAATATGTAATATGTTCAGGATACCCTGAACTTTCTTTTGAAAATTTCCACCCGAAAGTGTGAATATATGTTTAGCATATTTAATCTAAAATCTAATTCCGTCCTACACGATTCCGACATCATTATATATAATATACTAGGGGATACCCTGAAGCTTCTTTAACAATTTCCACCCGAAAGGTGGAAAAATCGCGAAAAATGTTTCTATTAAACGTTTTGTTGACCATCAAACTCATTTTCAAAAAAAAACAAAAGCTTGCCACGGGCAAGGCCAGGAAATGCCTAGTACATATAATATAAATAAATTTAAATTGCGTGATTTTTGTTTTGTGCAAATGTGTATAACAGGCAGAAAGAAGCATCTCTGACCACATAAAGTATATATCTTTTCTTGGTCAGAATCAATAGACGAGTCGATCGAGCCATGCACATTTGTATAAACGCGTCGATTTCTGAACCTAGAGCTCAAGACTTGTCATTTTGCTATGGATTCGAATCGATATTGAAATTTGAAACTATTGTAAAAAACAAATAGTTTCCTCCATAGGACTCGAACTCGAAGCAGAGCACACGACATGCCACCGCCTCTACTCAACAGCCACGCTTACAATTCAATTGCAGCGAGCAAAAAACGGTTAAAAATAGCAGCACAGAAAACAACACAATCGCAATTGCAATGTTGTTGATAGAATTCAATAAAGACGCGGACGAATGTTTGTGTGTGTACGTGTATTCAGATTCAGAAATTCCTGCAATTTGCGCTAGCTACCGCAAACACGTGGCCAGAAAAAACGCGTTTTCTTTTGTATTTCTTAACCGATCTTGATCAAATTTTCCACAATAGATCTTATTGTGCTATACGATATTCGTATATACTCAAAAAGACAATTGCATTACAATTGTGACCTCAATTAGTGGGCAGTTCCAAATGATTTATTTATTTGATTTTTAGCTATGTGGTAGTGGCGGGGGGGGGTTGGGGGGTGACGATAGCTATAAAATGAAAGATACTTGATATATCTGTTCCATTTAAGAAGCTACATGTCGAATTTGGTGACTCTAGCTCCCAAAACCAAAGAGATTTGCTCAAAAAACAGTATAACGATATAGATTCTTATCGATTACTTGGAAACGGGACAAGTTATCGATCATCGGAAACAAAATCGTACTGCGCGGACACTAGGAGGACCTACGTTCAAGCTCTTATAGGTTCTGAGATACTTGCGTTCATACTTACGGACGGACCGACAGACGTACATGGCTAGATCGACTCGGCTGATGCTGATCAAGAATATATATACTTAATGGGGTCGGAGATGCTTCCTTCTGCCTGTTACGGGAGTGCCCGACTGGGGGGTACCCGGAACCCTTTTTTACCAGCACCACAAAACATTCTTTGCCTTAGCAATAAATTAAAATGAACGATACTTGATCTGTATATACAATTCTAGAAGCTAGATGTCAAATTTGGTGAGTCTAGATCTTAGAAGAACATAATTTCGAAATCGATTTTTATCGATTATCGGACTATCGCGACCAGTATGAGGGCCAAGGCTCAAAATCTAGCTCTTATAGGTTGTTCTGGGATAGACAGCAGACATGGCTAGATCGACTCAGCTTTTGATGCTGACCAAGAATATATGTGTATATAGTTTAATAAGAACTATTGAGAAAGAAGAAAAATATTTGGTCGATGTCAATTTTGGGTAAAGATCAAATTTGGCCCGCAACTTCTCTATGAACAGATGATGGGCTTTTAGAAATTACAACCGAATCACAGGACGTATTTTTGGGTGTTTCACATTACAACACTTTGTTCGTCCGAGTATCGAGTGAAACAACTCTCGCATAACCCAGCTACAAGTTGCGTGCACTCACCTCGGCGCCTGTTCAAAAAGATTCGGAGCGATTATTCTGTGCACTTCTCTGGCAGCGTATCCCAATAGGACGAAGGTTCTAGGTGCAACTGGTTTGAGGACATTTATATGTCTCCCTATCTCTCTTTCTTTTTGTTCTGTGACTGAAGTGCGTTACTATGTTTATCCTGTATGTTTGTATAAATGTTTGTAAAACTACTTCAACACGGCTCACACTCTGATGAGACTTATATATGAAAGTTATTCCACTTGGGGGATACGTAACACGCATTCAAATATAGAAAAATCTTGTAGAAATCCAAATGGACAATCTAAAGAAGACATATTCGTATTTATATGCTGCATTTACCGAGTTGGGAATTTTACAATGCAAAGATATTTTTTCGTTAAAGTGTGGTGCGAGTCTTGCAGGACGCTCTTGGTGACGTGTCATGCCAGAAGTCGTGCAGGACCCTCTGCATGACGTTTCCAGAACATTGTCTTTTAGAACTTACTTAATACACACTTTAAAATTAAGAAATGCTTACCAAATGTGCAAAAGAAAATAGGATTCTTTCAAGTTTACATACAACAATTTTAACTATCTTGCGGAATATTGAATGAATCAACCTAGGAAGGATTTTAGTAGAATCAGAGTTTTAGGATTGACGCGCTATCAAGAATAGTTCATATTGATAAATATCGTAAATAGGCATTAATAACAGATAATGGGATAAAAAAGGCACTAATTTCTTTATAAATATATATAGAGTATAATTGAATACATTCAAAACAAGTAAAAATGGTCGAGTCCTAAACCAAGTTCCAAAACTTAAACTATTCACATTCTTCAACGGTCACATTGACTAACTAATTATACTCTATATATACACTAAATATAGTATTTTTTTCGACTGAATCTTTTTGATAAGGAAATTGACTATTAATAGAATTTATATTCCTATAAATATTCAATTCCTCTTTGGATATCTAGGAAAAGAATACAGTTGAAAATATAAGAGTATAGCTATTTGATATAGTGGACCGATCTGGTCAGTTTCCGAGTTTTGATAGCAATAGATCTAAAACATAGATATTAGTTGGCATAAAAACAGACAAATGGACATCTATTTATCGAGTCGGCTGTTGATACTGATCAAGAATATATATATATAAATATAATTTTATCTAAACTGAACGAAACTTTCAAAGTACTTATAACAGATAAAAATAAGACTCAATTATAAGATGATTATTATTATATTGCCAGAATCGTTAAATGGGGTTCAATATATTTATGTTTTTCATTAATGTATCCTTTTATATTTATGACATTCCTAAGGGGTAAGTATATATTATATACAATCATTGTACGATCCACTAAGGTATATGTATATATACATATAAGATCACAATCTGTAGTAAGATAAGTACTCACATGCTGTTCGATGTGTTCCAATGCATGTAGAATGTCTTAGCACAGCTGGACATAGTTGATAGAAGCACGGTCTCTATGCAGATTATCGTGAGAAGCGTGACGAAGGATGTGGCCCGCAACGAGGGCAACGGACTAACTACCATTTTATATCGCGACGAATGAGCCTTCTTCTTTTTATTGCTTATGTTGATTCTCGTACTGCATTCAGTATTTTGTTGTTGTTCAGTTGCGATCACTCTGGATGTCTGGGACCGGGGATGCGAGTGGGGATTCAGCTGCGTTTTATCAACATGCTTAATGTGTTGTGGGCCAGCACAATTTGTTGCTCTTGTTCTTGTTGTTGTTGGGTGGACATGAGACATGCTCCTGCTTTTACTTTTGGACTTTCGATGCATCGCTGGCTTTAAGAGCGCGGTCGTTGGTTGGTTTCGGTTTCGGTTTCGAGCTTTTGGCATATGGTTGTCAATGGTCATCGGTTGAGATGTTGATGGGCTGCCATTGGTAGCCCATTTGTCATTCTCATTCTTAACATTCTCCGCCAAGTTGTCAACACCATCATCAGCTGATCGCTGGCACTTAATGCAGCAGAACGCCAAACTGGGATGCGACGATGGAGCGACGGGTGCGCCATCCAGTGACATGGGCTCCTTCAGACTGGAACGGCAGCCCGATCCTGTTCCTGACATAGACTTCCAAGTTACAGTAAGAGCTAGTCTTCCATTGGACTTGGTCGTCGACGGGACGAGCATTATTTATAAAGTCTTTCAGTATTTAGTTCACTTAGTTCGCGCGTTGATTTCTGTTGTTTGACCTTTGATTTTGCCTTAAAGCTCCAACACCCTCGATTCTGGACGATTTCAAGATCTCTGCTTAATCCCAACTTTGGTAACTGTTGTTTGCGCCTGCCGTAGATGTTGTGACTTGTTGCGACAGCGGTTTCCTCGCGTCTGCCAGTTGACCCAATTGTTGTTCTTGCTTGCTCTTGACAAAATTAAAATTGCGTCCGCCGGCAACATGCCGATGTCTCCCGTTTCTGCAAGTAAATTGAAACACAGACTCAGGCGCATTTTAAAGATTTCTTACTTTTCAAATCAAATTTCACACAATTTTAACCAATCAATCAATCAATCAATCAATCATGTATATAACACTGTTTATTCTGACTGACCAACTGATTCACTGACTGAGATGGAAATTTAAGAGCTGGAGTAATTCCCTTTTGTAATGTGAGTGAACTCTTGACCGGGATTCTAAAAATGTTCTCCCCCAAGTGTGGGAAAATTCACAAAGGTCGGAAATGCTTGAAAAATGCAAGTAGTCGATCGGGTTCAAAAATATATTCCAAGCTCTCCATTGAAAATTGACGTACGCGATCTTTATAGATTTTGGAAAGTCCACTCTACGAGCGAAAAAGTTGTAAAAGAGATGCCCACAATTTGAACGATCTCTAATAAATATTTAAGAAGTATAATTTATATTTAGTCAATCAGACTTTTATTTCTAAAGCTGTCTGTTAAATTGGTTTAACCATAAAAACGTTTCTTGGTTGATTTTCTCATTGGAGGGAAATTAAGATCGAGAAGTCGACACTGAATTCCCGGGCAATGATTTATCCAATCTAATATCTTTAGCCGAAGGTCAAAGGACATGATTCTTGATGAATATGACTACTTGAATAGCTACTTTGTTTTTTGCCCTGTATATCAACAAAATAATGATAAGAGATGATGAGAATGATGAAAATGTTAAGAATGATGAGAGATGATCAGAGATGACTTCTCCTTTCTGTTCCAATCATTTCTACAAATGACCGAAAAGAAACTTGAAAAGTTCGCGGATGGTTTTTGCAAAAATGGTGAAAAACGTTTTTAATTATTATAATTTTTACATATATATATGTAAAACATATAAGTTCTTGTTCGTAGAACCGTTGAACAAATCCAATTTAAATACAGGATATAGCCTAGCAATGTAATTTATCGATTAACTTACTTTTCTTCTTGGTAAAAACATCTAAATGATTTAATTTCTTAAATTGTATCTAGATAGAAAGAGTATGCGTACGTCGGGGTTTGAGAGTGATGTAAATTAAAGCTGTGTACATTTTTGCACACACACACATATATCTGCGGGTGTGTGTATATACATATATGTATGTCTGTACATCATATGCTTCTTGTAATTCACTCATCGTTTTGTAAATGTCGCCGATTTCGAGAAGTATACAGGCTAAATTATATACATATGTACGTATATTTGCCCATGTTATAATACGCAACGAAATCGTACGGCATCTGCACCGTCATTTGCAGATCCTGAATTTCTAGTATAATATATATAAAATTAAATTCACTTTATCCGCAATATGAATTGCAGTCTTTTGAAACCTACATATACATACATACATTTGCATCTACATACGTATGTATGTATCATATGTAAATTCGGAGGACAAAAAATCGGTTGTAAGAGCCTTTCTTCAATTCGGGTCTTTTATATGGCTTGTTTTGGCAAGACAAATAATATTGTTGCACTAAAATCAAGAGTTTTCTCCCTCTCTCCCACTCTCTCTCTCTCCTCTCTCGCTCTCGCTCTCTCGCAGGAGACTCAAATACATAAACATTGAATTCGACAATTTTCTGTATACATACACAAAACCCGATACAATAATTGAGCACTCTTTATGAATAAAAACGTGAGATAATTTATAAATTCAAGCTGTTGAAATTTTGCGAAGGATACGGGGAGCGTATTAGTATTCCCGAATGTCTAGAAATTAACCAATTTGGCATTTGCTGGTCATTACAAATGCATAATAACCACTTTACACGCACAGGCACACGCACACAGACACAATGCCAGCATTTTATGTATACATTTTTGCATTTTATTTTACTTTTCAACTAATCACATTTTTCCCATTATCTTCTATTGGTGTGAGTTGAGTTGCCGTATCCGTATTCACAACATTTTAAAATTAATTTAAATAAATTCGTATGTAAATAATATTATGCAGCATTTAAAGAGCTGTGTTAGATGTAAAAAAATAATACGGTACTGACAGTGTGGCAGTATCTGAAAAATGTATCTGTATCTAAAACGTATTTTTTTAAAAGTAGTTTACAGTTACAGTATTTGCAAGTCACGAGTAAAAGGTGCGACATTTTGTTGTGTCGTTCACAAATGAAACGTGTAAATTTACAGCATTTCGAAAGAAACCCCTTTGTTAATAAAAATCTGACATCAATAAACTTTAATTCATTATTGCAAAAATATTGAAAAACCTTACTTATACTAACTATACTATCCAATCAGTTAAATGTCAGTATTTTTTAGTGTTTTCAAACGAAGAGCTGACCACTTGCTCTATTACTGTACGATCTTATCGATAGCGTTACTTAACCGTTTCTTAAACGATTTCGGTGTAATTTTCTGTAATAATTATACGTTGAGACCTTTCAAATTGTTTCGTTGTTTCAATTGGCATTTTTATTATTCGACTTTGCTGAATCAAAAAATTAAATATTTTTGATATGTATAGACTGTCCAGAAGCTACATGTACAGTTTTATGGCATTAGCTCTTAAAACCTAAGAGATATGATAAAATAAAACTGTATTTCGATATTGATATCCATCAATTGCTTTGAAACGGGGCAAGTTATCGATCATTAAAACAAACTCGTACTGCGCAGGCACTCAGGCGAACATGATGGACTCGACTTTTGGTGCTGACCAAGAATTTATAAACTTGATGGGTCGTTTCTTATTTTTTCTATATCATTTCTTCGCAGCTCAACATTTTCTACTCTTAAGGCGCACATAATTCAATCGCTCAAGCTCCTAGTAGCGATGTTTTTCTTATTTATTCCTACATCGATATAATTGCTTGTTAAAATCGATAAATACATCGCTTATTTCTGTATCGCTTAAATCTAATACTTGAGAGTGTATAAGGATGAACCGAAATATTTGGTTAATATATCGATTCTGCATATCTGCAAAACCAGTCGAGAAACAGAGGTAGTGACTGCAAGTATATCGATAGATATCGGTTGCACCAGCGCCGCACATACACAACGCAACAGCTGTTTGACCATCCATTGGTTTGACATTACTGTTTGCGTAAAAAGTCCAATAGACTATTTTGAAATTAAAAATGATTTCCCAGGGCTTTAGGCGCTCGCTGGTCGCAGGGGCGCAGCTGCTTAAAACCCAATCGTCTATTGCACCGGCCGGTGGCAGCATCTTGAGGTAAACAATCAAGCTACTCGGATACTTACATAATCATATTTCCACAGGAACCACTGTGGCAAAATGATCACAAGTACAAATAATTACATATTACATATAAATATATATTCGATAGTTCGAATCAGCATCGCGGTGCAGCAAAATGGTATCCGGATCCCGAATTCATGAAGCAATTTAGTGGTCCGGTCATGTATCCCGATGAAGTAACCTCGCTGTGGAAGGTGCCGCCATGGAACAGTATGCATAAAAAGATATTTTTAAAAAAAAGTTGAATGGTTTTATGCTTAATTTTCGGCAATAGGCAAAATGGTCCCGGTTGAAAAGTCTGTGCGCAACTTGACGCTGAATTTTGGACCTCAACATCCAGCTGCTCACGGCGTGCTTCGACTAGTTCTTGAACTCGATGGCGAGGTTAATACATATATTTCGTAATACTTCGAGAAATGAGCGTAATGAGAGTGTTTTTGCTTTCAGACGGTAATGCGCGCCGACCCACACATTGGCCTGTTGCATCGTGGCACCGAGAAACTAATCGAGTACAAGACCTACACGCAGGCTCTGCCGTACTTCGATCGTTTGGATTATGTTTCGATGATGTGCAACGAACAGTGCTACTCGCTGGCCGTGGAGAAATTACTTAACATCGATGTGCCACTGCGTGCTAAGTATATACGAAGTAAGTGCTAAATAGGGTCCACTCGTAGTCCCAACTAAAGGCGAAAACGTATATTTTGTTTTCAGCTCTCTTCGCTGAAATAACGCGTATCCTCAATCACATTATGGCTGTGGGCACTCATGCTCTGGATGTGGGTGCACTGACTCCCTTCTTCTGGCTTTTCGAGGAACGTGAGAAAATGATGGAATTCTACGAACGTGTTTCAGGCGCGCGTATGCATGCCGCCTACATTAGACCCGGCGGTGTCTCACTGGTAACTCTTTATTTGGATGAATTTCATACTCATCAAAAGAAAACTAACATAACTTTTTTTGCAGGATATGCCACTGGGTCTTATGGATGACATTTACGAGTTTGCATCAAAGTTCGCCGAACGTTTAGATGAGGTTGAGGATGTTCTCAGCACGAACCGAATCTGGGTACAACGCACTGAAGATATTGGCATTGTGTCTGCCGAGGAAGCACTTAACTACGGCTTTAGTGGTGTTATGTTGCGAGGCTCTGGAATCAAATGGGACCTGCGAAAGCAACAGCCTTACGACGCATACCATTTGGTTGACTTTGATGTGCCGATTGGTACCAAAGGCGACTGTTACGACCGCTACTTGTGCCGCATCGAAGAAATGCGTCAGTCTTTGCGCATCATCGATCAGTGCTTGAACCAAATGCCAGCTGGTGAAATCAAAACAGACGACGCAAAGGTGACGACACCAACCCGCTCCGAAATGAAAACTTCCATGGAAGCTCTAATACACCATTTCAAGCTCTTTTCGCAAGGCTATCCAGTACCACCCGGTGCGACCTATACAGCAATTGAGGCGCCAAAAGGCGAATTTGGAGTTTATTTGATATCAGATGGTTCCAGTCGTCCCTATCGCTGCAAGATCAAAGCGCCAGGATTCGCTCATTTGGCAGCGCTAGAAAAAATTGGAAAGCAGCACATGTTGGCCGATGTAGTTGCCATAATCGGCACCCTGGACGTTGTGTTTGGTGAAATCGATCGATAGATTGTTTAATTGTACAAACATAATTATCATTAATTATGAAGCTTACAATGGAAATATAAATGCAATACAGCCATTAAAACATCAATTTTAGAACCAATGCAATCTTGGCTATGCACCCATCGCCTTTCCAATAATTAGAAAATTATTCTTATTAAAAAAAATAATAAATATTTAGCATAACTCCTGGTTGGGTATATTGACTTAAAGCCTGTTACGCTCCGAGTCCTAGACGTAAATATTTTAGATATTCGGTACTATTCTGAAACCATCCATGTTTTCGACGAGAGTCTTTTCCAGGTCATCATAAGTTGAAGAAATCCGACTTCACGGCTTCCAAATGACGTCTGCTCGTCTGTCAGGTGCCACGTCTGGAATGGCTACTGTCAGCTCAGATGCCTCCCCGGGCACACTTTGGACTTGATTCCAACTTATTTTCTAATATCTGTAAAATATTATTAATGTGTGAAGTTCAAGACAGCAAGGATTGATTTAAATTGTTTACGGGCGGCAAATGGATCTAAAGTTAGAGCTTGTTTATGAGGATAGCTGTATTATATGCTTGGCCAGGACACCAGGTCCGAGTGCTATCTACCTAAACAGTTTGTAGTCCACACTGATGCTCATTACATATGGCATTACGCTGGATTGATTGCACATTGTGTGTAAATTACTGAATGAATCGAGCAAGTTTACGTTTTTGTAGTATTGCATTGGAGCTTTTGTATTATTCAACTTTATTTTGATACTTCATTCACAAAATTCTTAAAATTGTAATGCCAAACAACATCAAAGATAAATTCACTGTATTATAAATAATCGTTTTGTCACATATGGTATCTGTTAATCATTGTTGTTGGTGTTGTTGTTGTTCTTGTTGTTGTTTATATGTGTGCATTTTAGCTTAGCAAATGAATATACTTGTATGTATTATGGGCTGCGCCGGAGGCCTAATCAACATGGAGTTCAACTGAATAGAATAGGTCCATCGATATGCGAATCTGTGCTAACAGATTCGAACATGCGGACTTAACTCTATATATATATATATATATATATGTATGTACATTAAAGGGTTTTTTTGTGACCCACACATATACATATTGTAGGAGTGCATTTTGTATTGCGTATTTGTTGTCATTATCAATAATAAATATTATATAGTTTATCCATTTAATAGGCGGAAATTTGATACTAATCATATAACACTAGTTTGCATTTCGTATATTATTATTCATATAATTGTTGTTGTTGTTTTTAATACATAGACATAGGCATGTGTGCGTATATATACGTAAGTGTTTAAATTAATATACATACACACATACTATGGATTCTATTTAATTTGCTATGCATTTTGTATCGTACCTAATAAGTTGTTATTCTACGTGATCACATTGAAACTTTTGTTTTATAAACGTTTTTAGTAATTAGTTAAAGACATTTTTTTTTGTAATTTATAACATATCCCTAAAAGCTTTAACAATTTTTGTAACATTCATATTTGCGATGACATTTTAAGTTACGCCAACTGGATATATATATATATACTATGACGAAATTTACACACTTAATAGATCTATTCAATCTACCAAACACATATGCGTGCTCGAGTGGCTTTTTTCTACAAATTAGTTTAACGAGTAACAGATTGCTTTATCCTTTATCCTACGAATGGACATCCAATTAATGATGACCGTGAAATTGTTAAAATTAGTCAAGGAAATTGTTGTGTTTTTTTTGGGGAAATTTGCATCACGGATCCCAGATCCCAAAACAGTATATATATATTTAAAATATAAAGCTGATAGTTACAACTGATTTGATGATCTATTGCACAAATTGGTCACAATATATTCACAGAGTAAAATATTATCTAAATACAGAACAGATTCCTGTGAATCATGAAGGTAGTATTTTTCGCTATTTGTTTGTATTATATCAAAGGTACAGAGCTATATTTAACAGAATTTAATATATATACATACATCCATGTACGTGTATGTCTCTTAAATACATATTTAATATTTTCTATATCCACAATTGGTTATTTAATCATAAATCAAAGAGGGGAAAAGGCTGCACAACAAAATTTAAAAGATCTATTAAATAAAGACATCCCTGATTAAAGATATATCTCTCTCTAACGGATGCAATATTGCGTATTGGTTAATTGTTTCAAAAATTTAAAGCATATCGTTTTCTCGTGTGACCAAACGTTGCCCTATTTGTTATTTAATTAAATTAATATAATAGTTAAAAACGTATACTAATATACAGATGAATCTTCTAAATGCTACTTTTATATAATTGAATATAAATACATATAAGTAGATACATTTAATTAATTTAAAAGCTTTTCGATTTCTTTCTATCAAGAAACGATATTTAACAAAAATAATCACATATCATTTTAGCAGCTGGCATAATACATAAAGCTATTTACATATCGTCGCACAATTGTTGATTTTTGTTTTCTCTCGGGGAACAACAGCAGCTGAGTTGTTTGTTTGTTTGATTCCAAGGCTTGAACGCAGAAATTTGAAAAAGCTTTATGTTTTGTATTTAGCATTGTGTGCATCTTTGATAACTACTAAGATCTGGGCTTCTTGCTAATTATTTAAGACTATTTGTAGATGTCGGTACAATATTATCGGCAGTGATTGAATCGGGCGATTTCTTCATTTTGTCGCAATAATCATTAAATATATCGCGAAATCGTAGCCAGCACTTTTCTGGTATAGTTATGGAAGTGCGAAAGTTATTTTTAACCTGAAATTGACATAAAATTCAACTATTGAATATCTTGATCAATTTTAAAATATTTAAAAGTACTCTTACCTCACTTATTCGCATATAAACTCCTCGATTATTTTGACCAATGTCAAAGTAAAAGTTTTTGTTATCCACTTTCATATGACGCTCTTCCGGTAAATCGCCTTTAAAACTGAAATTGTAACAATTGAAACAAAAAATACGACTTACTTTAGATGTACGCATCTTTTAAGCTATATGCAAAATTTAAAAACAAAAACAAAATCCCTTTACTATATACATTTTCAACTTTACAATCATAGAAAACGAGCAGCTCTTGAATGAAAAATGTCCGTCAATAATTAAATGGACCACACTCGTTTTCAAATATCTAAGTGAAATATAATTTTATAATGGGTAGATTTAAATCATCTACAGCCGAGAAGTACCAGTAGTAATCTCTTGCAAATTGTTGTTCACGCGACTCAGTACAGAATATATATATATATATATATGTATATTTGCTGAATAAAGTTCTCACTTGAAGTTATTTGAAAGCCTTACAACAAATAGATTGATTGATTACAATACTTTACCCGCCATCATTGGCTCCAAACTCTTCCAAGAGATCAGTCAGCGCATCTCGAAATTCAATCATGCCTTGAGCCGGCAGCGCAATTTGAGATCTGGGCCCGCCTCTTGTTATTGTTTGGGAAACCTGAAATTGTTCATGTTTTATCATAATGCAAATGAAAACAAGTGAAAGTATTTCACTAGAACAATGCTTTGAAATACCTTCAATTGTTTGATCAATTAAAAGAAGAAGAAGTGCTCTAGTCGGGAGTAACCGATTAGGAGATACCTAAGTCTTTAAGATTATTCCCGTTTTTTGATTGACTATTCAATCAATTGATGATAATGAGATCGCAGCTGGATTATTAGCGAGTCTGACAATTTTATTATTCAATTTATTTTTGTATATTAACCTAACTTTAAGCCGAATTAAGTTCGAACCAGAAAACCTTGTTAATAGAAATAGAAACCCAAGCTCAAGACAATCACTGACAATTTGTTCTTTCTATACACAATATGATCAAGATATCTTGATAAGCAAAAAAGTTGTTCACTTTTCTATGCCAGCCCTATGATACGTATAATGGTCCAATATAGATGGGATGTTGCAAATAAGTAAGGAGTGAAACTAATAATATATTGAATAATACCCTCTTGTGTCCGACTATGATATATCCTATAAACGGCTTTCCATTGCTTCTGTAAGCCTCAGGCTGGCAGCAATATTCCTCTTACTTTCCTTTCTTAACGATATCGATAATAACTTAGAATATCTCAAATTGTTTTTATGACCTTTCTGCTTGCTCGTATAAAGCCTTCTATTCTAAACTATTTACACAGATGACAAATACATATTGCCTAATACTAGTTAATGATTACACGAATTGTGACAATCGGATTATAAACGGATTATAAACTAAATATTTAATATATTAACATATTTAGAATATTGGATAATTACCCTGAGGAACCTTCCGCGAGCATTTTCCTTCAAGTCCAAATAATATCTCCGATTGTCCTTAATCATCATCTCTGACTTCAATTTGCCATCCTCGGGCAAACTCTCCGGAGGGCCTACATTTTGATGAACTTATTTGATTTTGAGGTCATAAGCCATTCCCTAAAATGAAAGAACATAACCTACCTAGAGAAGCATGGTAGTCACTAAATGACGATAGATGGTCACGGAACTCGGCTGCCGTCGACAGCGCTAAATATATTTGACTTCGTCTGCCGTCTGCGCCAATCTGAAATGATGCCAAATAAATATTGTTAATATCTCAATCGATAAATCGATGTCAACGATGCTAAATGAAATGCAAATTGTCAGTATGGATATTTAAGCAGACAATGTCATTGATTGGATCAGATCCAATGACGATTCCAACTTAGGTCGCGGAATGTTCTATGATCAGAGAATTAATGCTGATCACAAACAATTCAAGTAAAATCTCTTTCACCCCGTTCCCGTACGTGTTCTCCTATGAAAAGTGTGAAGCACGTTTCAAATGAATTTTCTTAAAGATCTTGAGTTCAGGTTGATTTTCCGAAAAGCGTGTAGCAAACATCTCAAATGATTCCTCTCAAGGATTTCCGCAAATGAGCTCCACCTTTGATCCCCAATTTTTTATTCAAAAGGAATGGATTTTGCAGAAAGTGTGAAACATGTATTACAATAATTTTCACAAAGATCTCTAAAAACGATTTTGAAGTTAATTCGATGGCAGAAACACGCATCCATTAAGTTCTTATGGACAAAACATAAAACTTCGCTCAAAATTCGTTTACCCACGTTTTTCGCCGAGGAAGCTTGGATACTGCAGAACGTGTTAAACACTTCACCCGCCAAATCCTTGACCCCTATTTATACCAAGGAGCAAAGGATTATCAGAAAAGTTTAAGACATCCCTCAAATGAATACACCTATTTAATAATTTAACTTTCCGATTTGAATACTCCAATATTCAAAAATCGAATTTGTTAAATAATAAATACGTGTTTCCAACCTAAAGTCGAAAACTGAACTGAAAATCTAGCTTCTTCTGTTCCAAACACATTCGCTTCTGTTTCTATGTTTTACTAGCCTAAAGAAATATAAGATTACTATCAACTTTGCGAATCTTAATCTCATCGAGATAGATCGAACCCGAATGTGAGCAGAAATTGTAGATTTTGCATTCAAAAGTGTTCTAGGAAAGGATGCTCGTAAACGGATCTTCAAAAGTAGCGCTTATTGACACCTGATTTCTTATTCTAAGAAATAATTGAAACCTATAATAAATGTTGATATTGATGAATGCTCTTGTCTTGGTATGCACAGATATATATAGATATATTTACCTCGGCCACCTTAATGAACCGTCCACGACGATTTTGCTTTACATCCAAATAAAATCTTTTTGATTGAATTTGGAGCATTTTTGATGCCAGCTCCTGCTCAACTGCACTTACGGCTGCAAAAACGATAAGAAATACAAAAAACGATATCAATAATGAAAATCTACGATATTCGATTGATTATTTAATAAATAGATGTTGCATAAAATGACCCTGAATGAATAAATTTTATATAATAGATATACACAAAAGTTGGTCAACACCAAACTGAAGGGTTAAAAGCCAAGTTTTGGATGTAACTATTTAGAAAATGTGACTTGAAATGGGAAAATGGGAGTCCTGAGTCTATTCGGGACTGAACCCTCTTCTACCAACAGCAAATGCTTGTTTGTTTTCTCAATCGGACTTGAACCCGTTACCGACGCGAACTACGTGCCTCAACTTGACAGCCATTAAAACTCAACAATTCGCTTTCCTCGACATCTATAAAATGCTATAAAATGGAAGTTACTTCATTTGTATATACATTGGCGGGTTCTGCTTCTTAAAAGCCAAGAGATTTGCACAAAAATCACGATTTCGATAGCAATTTTAATCGATTGCTGGGAAACACGGCAAGTTATCGATAATCGCAGAGCTAACCTGTAAGTCAAGTCGATTTACAGCCTTTAACTTTTATAGATTCTGAGAACGAAACGTTCATAAATACGGACAGGATCGAATCGGCTATTGATCGAATCGGCTAATCAAGGATATGTTATACTATATACTTTTTTAAGTTGAAGATGCTTCTGTCTACCTGTTACATACATTTGGTCAAAAACGATTATACCCTTCTTAGGAATTTTCAATGGGTTTTGGGGTATAATTAACAGATTGTTTGTTTTGCCGATAATTTAATGCCTTGCATGGAAATTAATAGACAAGATCCCATTTTTATTGAAAGCCATTGTATGCAACATTTTTATTAATGATATAATCTTTTTTGTAACATACCTTTGGCAGACGAATCAAAATCATTTCTGCTTGAAGAACCTTCCATATTGCTTGCATTATACTCTGAAAATGAAAGAACATAATTAAATGTAGGAACAAATACAAATTCCAATAAGTATGCAAACTTTTCCATCCATTTTCCGCTCGTGAAAATAATACTACTATCTATCTACTTTGTTTAATAATACGTGTGTCAGCAATTTTGGGATAACCCACCACTAATGCGAAAAATAATCTGATATCTAGATCCTCCTTCTATATAGGATAATTTAAGTATATATACATATATATACTAGCGGCGCATAAAATAAATAAGCAAAGAACCAAACCTCGTTGCAATCGAATAAGATTTGACCGTGTTATGGAGTGGGAAATTTCGACCTATAGGATATTTGCGGGTAACATTTTTACATGAATTTTGACCAACAATAATGTTGCCAGATTTAGATGGCAAATTGATTTTGTATAGTCACCTACTCACCTTTTTTAGGAAGGTGCTTTAGGAGCTATTAACCTTTACATTGATGATAATAATAATGATAAAAACTTGCCTGCTTTGAAAGATATCTTAACCAAACTAGACGTTTACTAGCTATATTTTTTAAGTAATTATCTACAAGGGAATTTCATATTCATTCATGTATATTCAACAGCTGCCATAAGGGAACTTGAATGACTTGAACTTACTTGATCCTGAGATGCCTTCCTCGCCACTTCCAAGATCCGACATTACGAAATACTTTCGGGAATATCGTTTTGTGTTAAGCTTTGGCGCTTAAATGGTGCTCCGTTAATCCGTTTATCCGGTTATCTGGTGCTTGTGCCTCTTATCCGCTTATCCTCTTATCGTACGCCTACTAGCAATGTTTACCTAACGTGTTAGCCGGTGCAAAGCTTTGCACTCCTCCAACTAACGTGCACAAACATAATTGTAAAGTGATTAGTTAGACCAATGAAAACGAAAATCTCACATTTTTGAAGATGTATGTAAATATACATAAACTTTAATATGTGCATGTTTATTCAGACATACCATACACAAACATGCATATATATTTGTGAATGCATACACATATAAATGCATATATGTAAATAACGTATCAAAACATATGTGTCTGCTAAAAATTTTGAATGTACATATATATAATAATATATAATAATTGTAATTATATTAATTTAGTGTTTAATTGACGGTACACACACACATACGTAACAATATCAATATGGTAATGTACACTTATTGCCTGTATACACACACATCCACACACACACACACACACACACAGAGAGAGAAGTACATGTAAACTTTTCATTGAACTACTCTTGCAAAAACCTTGAACGCTGTACATGCACACATGCATATCTTATGTATGTACATATGTGTATGGGGCTTTGTATGTTCAATTCCATCTGCCCACCAAGTTTATGTAATTTACTCGGATATCGCCATTGGTAATTATGTTACTTAAATATATCATTTTATATTTTTAAGGCTCCAGAAACTAGTGTTAACATTGTAAGTGCATTAAGAACTTTTATGCTGACAAATGTTACTGTTCATAAATGCATACATACACACATGTACATACAAGAACGTAGATAGTCTCACAAATATTTAAATTGTGTAAATATAATTGTTAGTTAATGCACTTCTTAAATACGAACATAAATTAGTTTAATAACAAATTATATTTTATTTTTTTTTAAATTTACGCACACACACGCACGCACCGTTTGACGACGATGCTCACTTCGAGATGGCACGTGAGCTGTCCGTTTCGATATTGTGAGCAACAGATTTTATTAAAGCTGAATTTCCCATGTTATGATAATCAGTTGACAAGAAATGCGATTACAAATTAAGGTTTCGTCATGTAGGTATCATAAACACTCTCTACGTATTCTTCAATTAGTTTATTAAATAGGAAAGATGCAAACCAATCAAAATTCTTATGAACGGTTAGTAGTTTCAATACGATATCTTATACTTTTTAGTTTCGATTGTATTGCACGCAGGGCACGAAAAGCTGATAAGTAGTAGTGGCAACCCTGTTTCTCGATTTCCAAAAAAATAATCGAAATCAGCTGTTTTAACGAAATCGACTATTGAAAGGGTATCCCATCCAAAACGGGGTTGGCGATCTATATTTATATCAGATCCTTTCTCATATATATAATATAATATGTATATGTAAATAAACCAAATGTTTTTATTTTGTGAGCTGTTTACTGAAAAATTGCATAGAAGTTTGTATAATATACTAATGTACTACTAATATATACCAATATACATATATATGTATATGTTTTGCGTCTTATTTTCTTATCTTAAGTCAATATTTTCGTAGAAAACCATCGTACAAAATAATTTAGTGATCGGGTTTCGGCTTGACTCGGTGACCGACCTAACGCAAAGCCAGTGTTGTGAAACTACAATCATACCAGCATAAGCCATTGGTATCAATCATTAATACGATTAAAAACAATTTTAGCCACAAGCATTATGTGCATTTGAGTTCTCACGTTTAGAAATACATATTTAATTTTTATTAAAATACATTTATTGTGCTGTCCTAACTGTTGCTTTACATTAATTTTATATTTCGTGCAGTTCAGCTGAAATATGGAGCACGAAGTAAGCGATGAGGTCGCTTCACACATATGTACATATATTTTTTTTTTAAAGAGCGCGCAACCGTCTCTTTGCGTAATACTGGCAATTTTGGGATGTGCACTGCCGAACTTGAGTGTTGCAAAACAGGAAAAACAACGGGGTACAACAGCCTGCTAATAATAGTATATTGTTTAACATAACAGCCCTCTAACACGACAATGCTCACAAAAAAGGCAACAGTGCATCCACATGTTATGTATGCGAGTTAGTATTTTTTGGTATTTTTAATCACGAAACCCGACGGAAATATGTACCGCTCTTTTAACATTCTGTTACGTGCTTCATACCATCCCAAATTTAATTCTCAGTTCAGATTGGAATGTTAATAAACTGTAAAAGAGAATCCACAGCTCGTCCGTACGGTCGTGTGCCGCGGAAGCCTATATTATATACATATTTAACGTACTATATGCATACGTATATGCATATGTATTTATGTCGATCATAGTATGTATATATATTTGCCGCAGTACTGTTTGTTCGTTCGGTTCGGTTGTTGCACATAAAAGCCAAGTTTGGTAAAACACGAAATTTATTTAAAGCTTGTTTCACATTCCTAAAGTAAACTAAAATAATACAACTGTAATTTCTGTGTGCGTGTGTGTTTTTTTCGAATATTCTGTTGTGTAATTAATTTCAATATCTGCACACTTATTATTTCAAATATATTGAATAACAAACACATACACACATTTGTATTTGCGGATAGCTACATACATATGTGTGCGAGTGTGTATGTATATGTAATAATACAAAATAATTCCTTGTGTACCAAAAGTCGAAACAAATTCAATGGGCGTCAATCCCAAGGTGTGAGTGCTTAAAAATACATATACAAAAACATATGTGCATGTGTGCACATATGTACTTATTTACAAACGTACATATGCACATAAGTTGATTGTATATAAAACGGCTATGTGAGTTTTGTAGTACATTTGCACACACAGCAGACACACATTGATTAGTGTGTGTGTGTGTGTGTGTGTGCGCGTGTGTGTAAGTTGCATGGACAATGCTCATGCTTCCACTTTCATACGACCGTCCGTACACGTACCATACATACATATATGTATGCATGTGTGTGCATACATACAGCATACGTACATTTTTCGTGTGTATGCATAGCAATGGTGTTGGTTATGGTATTGGTATCCACATTCATTGCGAAGAGCCAAAGCCAAAGCATCTCGCCGAAACCACAAAACCGAAATAATAAATACATACGTGTAGCAACAAGCCGATAGAATCTTTTATTTTTGTATTCTTCTTATACTTAGTACACAATTTACTCTATCTTTCTTTACCCCCAATGTCCGTTCGTCTGTCTGGCCCTTTGCCTGGAATATGAATATTCCTGAAAATTCGTTAGCGATAGTGTGAAAATATTTTGTACACGCCCACTAGGGGACGCTAGTGTGTATACCCTGTAACCATTGAAAATGGGTATATGCAAGTTCGAACCATAAAGTGTGATTATTTTTGAAAGCGCTGATCTCTAAATTAATACGATATGTAGGTTTGAAAATTACAAAATATATACAATTATACGCAAATTGGGCTTATCTTTTTTGATATCTTCTCATTGGTCAAATGGTTGATTCAAAACAGTTTGTGTCTCACAAATTATAAGATTATCCGTGTTCACGGATTAAGAATATTTAACTTTGGATAGTTACCCCCCTTTATCGTTCCCCTAAACATCATAGTATTTGGAGACTTCAGTTTCTATCGAGTGGGGTCGAATAAACTGTTCTAACTAAGTAACAATTGCATGCAACAATTTTCTACAAATTTTCCACATTTTCGGGTGGATTTATATCGCAAAAGGTATCTACAGTTAACATTTTCCAAACAAATTCCACCTTTCTCAGTGTGGGCTGCAGATTTATATATAGATAATTTTATCAAGGAAGAATATTGAGATTAGGAACATTTTCTCTATCGATTTCGGAGCAGGTGGCGGCAGGTGTATTTATTGTTCCTTGGCCTCTTTTAATTTTTATTTTATTTTATATGTATATATATATTTAGTTTGTTTTGCCACATCCAATCTTTAAGTGTTTTATGGAGTTTGAGGGAAATATGAGTGGAAACCAGAAATAATATGTCTTGGTTTGAACCATTGCCCCGCATTTGCGCCCGGCTTTTGGGAATTGACTGCGTTAGGATTGTGTTTTGTTGTTTTGATAACGATAGCCCAATAATCGAGAAGACACTTTTGGACCCGTTTTTAGCTTTCATCAAACTGAGTATTGAGTATTCCGCAGTCGGCTGCATCCAATGTAAGGTTCGCACATGTTTTTGTGTCTAAACTACGACATTTATTTATATGTATATTGTATATACTACGAAAAAATGATTTCGAATCCCACTCTGTGTGATAAATGCACAAAAATCTTCTGGTCCACATGGTTTTCTGCTCGCTTATCTACTTATAGACTGTATTCTCACGATTCTCACGACTGACGAAAATAAATTGAATTCAAACTTTTATGCAAATATATGTATATATATCTATGTTACCACCAGTGGATGTTACCCGGCTTTGCCCACTCCAAGTTTTTTTTTGTAGAAAGATTTAAATCTTCCAGTACTACCTTAGAACCCCGATCGAAGTGGACTTTGCGCAAGGATATTTGAAAATGAGCTTTAAATCTATCTATAACTTTTAACTAATCTGTCTCGACTTGAGATTTAGTCGATGTCCCCTATTTTCCACCCAGAAAGAGTGGAAACAGTTTTTCACACAATCGTTATCATTAAAATTTCCATTGTTGCGCATTAAATTTTCTAATACCCTACTTTAAAAATATTGTTGAAATCTAAATGAATATTTTGTTGGCTGGCTCAAGGTCCAAGGTCCCAACCAACAAAATATTTAAAATTTGGAAAGTTCGCCAAAACCAACATTAAATATAAATGTTAAAAAAAAAGAAAGTAATGACGAAATAAAGAATTGCAATTGAGTATATCTGTAAAGGGATTCTTAAAGTTTCATCCCATATTTTTGCATATCCTTAACCCATTAAAAATAGTTGAAAATAGGTAAATGAGACATCTTTGACCCAACACTCTTGATCAGCTGAGTCTATTCTTGTCAAGTCTTAAATTTTACTTCAAATTATTTTATAAGGATCAGAAACCAAATACCGATGTATTATTACGAAAGACTTCCCATAGAGAGGTGCTAAGGGAAGACCATGGAGTAATATATAGATAGAGCGCGCTTTTGGATCAAAATCCCTTTTTAAAAATACTTTGTGCCAGATACCGAACTGGCAAACACCTGACTGTCTACAGCATTTTCTTCTGCAGCCCATAATTCAAAATAATTAGTACATATTTACTATTAGAAACAATATCCCCTTTTGTGTTGGGCTACAGCTTATGATCTAAGCTATTGCACTCTTCTAACTCATTGTTGTATTTCAAGCCTATGATTCAGTCAGTCAGAGAGTCATGTCTTCTTTCCACTCGCTTTCAACTTGCAAGCAGCTCGGGAGAAAGGGTGCTCAAAATAAGGTACTTTAACAATCGATCATTAATGTACTTAAAGACCAAAGACCTTCCTATATAACAGTTCTTATGCAATAACAGAGAAAAATATAATTAAATATTATATTATTATTATACTTTTAAAAAAGGGTATCTATGCCTCGACGTGCCAAATAGTTGGCATGTGTGCCTCAACACACTCACATTGTGGTGCAAATGTACATGTATGTGTCTGTGAAGCCAAGCAGAAGAAGAAGTTTATGAATTTAAGAAGATTGCAACGTTTTGTTCTGGGCATGACGTCACAGCTTAAGGCTTTTTGTGCGCGATCGTTGCGTACAGTAAATTAGTTACAATAAATTATTTACTATATAATAAGTTATTTACGTATTTATAATAAAGGTAGAAATTTAAGCTAAACAACAGAAGATATAAAATTTTATCAACTCTGACGTCATAATATATGATGTTGGTGCGCCTTTGTGTGCGTAACCCTTTGATTTTGTAGCCATGACCTTCTGGCATTCAAATTTTCTACCTACTTGCAACGGGACTCGGCCCTGCAACAACAACATTATTACCCAAATTGTGTTGTTATTTCTACGCGCTGCATTTTAAGACAGTGTCATTATTTGTCCCTTTCTTTGCACTTAGTTTCTTATGTATGTCCTCGAGATCTTGCTTGAAAGTCCAGGCGATCAAGACAGACGACGAAAACGAAACGGGACTTCGTCCGCACTGTTGCTGATTTGTAAGTGATTTATTGTTGCTTCCTATGGTAAATGTGCTTGTTTGATTTTGCATTTGCAGACCAATGTACCTTGCTTAAACTTTAACCCAGCAATAAAAGCTCAGAGTGACTTTTCCCTCCTTCTATTTGTTACTCAATGAGCCGCAGCGTAAGCTGCGCATCAAGCTTATGTCTGCATTTTTGTATGTATAGAAAAAAAAGCTGAAATGATTGTAACGGTAGGGCGCGTAGTTTACAGTATTTCCTATGGAGGCATTTAATACCCTTGCAGACATTTCTCTTTACCAGGAAGACATCGTCGTCCCTATAAACAATATATGTATGTTACATATTTATATTCTAGACCTTCAGCCGAGTCGTTGTAGCTCATTTCGATCGGGTACGGAGTATGAAAGTAATACAAAAGCTCAAACAGGTTTAAAGCTCTTCGAAAGTGGATTTGTTGGCCATAAAAAAAAGAGGCATTGATAAAAACAACGGACATACACCTACTTCTTTGAATTTGAATGTTTAATTTATTTAAATGTGCCCAGATTTAACAAACTTTAGTGCAACAATAAATTAATAAATATAAATGTATGTAGTCATGCACTTGTATGTGTACATATGTACATACATATATTTGTTGACACATAAACCGGTTGGGCTACACATACATTTTTGTAAATGTGAGCGAACGTTTTTTTTATACCCTGAACCCCCGTTCAAAATGGGTATATGGCTTATTTGCAAAGGTATGTAACAGGCAACAGAAATCATCTTCGGCCCCATTAAGCTCATATATTCTTGATCAGGAAGACAAGCTGACTCAATCGGCCTGTTTAATTTCACAAATAAATACCGTATCTGGGCCCAAAACCAAACCATATTATTCAATATATGAATGAAACACTTTTTAATACTTGGAAATACAAATACATACTTGTATGTATGTACTTTATCGAGTTTCAGTTTTATTTCACATTTACATATAGTATGTATGTATGTATGTTGACACGCTTCTGTCCTGCTCGCACCAACGAACAAACGAAATTTCTTAAAATTACACAGACACACACACACACACTATACTATATGAATAACATTGGCGGGTTTGATCAAAACTTCATGCTTTGAGAGAAGCCACGCGCATTCATGTTTTAACTACATTGTGTGCTTGTATGTAAATCCATATGTTTGTATAACACTTGTTCTCAAAGTGAAGACTTCTTTTTCCAAATATTTTATTTATTTTTATTTTGTAAATTGATATATGTCCGTCTATCTGAT